TGGCACACACTCTTTAGGGACGGGTGGCACTCCCGAAGAGCCAGGGATGATCAAAGGTTTTTTGGACATCGACTGTGCTTTTGGCGGCTCTTTGGTTACTTTGGAGGACATAGATGGGGCTGGAGTCTTCGTCTGAGGTGCGGGTGCGGGCTTTGCGACGAGGGTGTTTGGCTTCGACCCAGTTGTTCCGCGATTCCAAACATTCGAGACGATATTCTTTGCGGAAGAGAGGAAACCGAACCGTGATGTTTGCTTGGGTGTCTCTGTAGGTTAAAGTCAGCAGAGTTGATTCGAACCATAATTTGTTCGGACAGTATCAGAATCTAACTTACGGACACCCTTGCCTATACTTGGCCTACCCATGCTGCTCCGCCTCTTGGCTTTGTTGGCATCTAGCTTCCGACGAATGGCCTCACGTTCCTTAAGCTTCTTTGTCTCTTCCCTCTCCAACTCTGTATCCTCAATAGGGTCGATGCAAAAACGTTTAGACTTCCGCCTATCATTCTCTTGCTCATCTTCCTCTTCGCCGTCATCATCGTCATCATTGTCGCCAAATCCTCCTGGTACGACCTTCTTCGAAACTGGGCGTAACCTCACACTTGAGGTAGAAGGAACGCGATCCTTCTTCACCACAACGCTCGACTTACGTGTCTTCCCAGTGATGGAGGCGGGCCCAGCGGTGGTCTTTCGCTTGCCCAAAACAGGTGCAGCGTCTGCGCTAGATAGCAGTCCGCGTCGCGCAGCATAGTGGCTCGTGATGCTGTCCATCTTATCGAATTGTGCTTGGTGCGCTTTATCGAATAGCTGACTAGAACTAGCTTTCTTCTCCTGCTGCAGGTCCTCTGTAATAGAGTGTCTTGACGTGGACTGTTGCTGGCGTCTCAAAACATCAAAGTCTACGTTTGCGACGCCCTCCGATCTAAGGCGCGCGTTCATGTCGTCCAACACGCTTTGTGCCGCACTTCGAAATTGCGCGTTTGAAAGACGGTGCTGAGGATTAGGAGATCCAAAGATGAAAGGCTCAGAGCGGGGTATTCCCAGTTCACCGCTGGTCTTTTCTGGGGAGCGCTGTGGGTGAAATGAGTTCGCATCCTCCCGAGCGCGAGTAAGCCTTGGCGCTGGGGAAAATAAATCTTTTGGGACGTCAGATGGCTTTTCGTCAGACTTCGGGGTAGCACCTGTATTGAATTTCGAACGCGCTGGCGTGGATGACTGGAGCGTGCCGGAGAAATCGACATCGATGTCCATGTCGGAAGTATTTGCAGGTTCAAAGGCAGAAAATGTTGGAACATCTGGGTATATGCGCTCGCGTTTGGCTCCTCCAGGCGAGAGGGGCCATACACCGCCACCTTCTGCTCCCCCAGGCGTTTGGGGCACAAGATCAAAGGATGTCTTGAATGGATGTAACTTTGGCGGGGAGAACAACGAGTTATTAGGTATGTTTGAGGCGACTAGACGGATTGTAGTCGTTGCAGGCCCCTGAGATATACTGAGACGGGCATTGTCTGGTGCTGGGAGACCTGCACGAGCGTTCTGTCCTGGCACGGGCTGAACTTCGGGCTCCGGCTCAGTCGGAGCCGTGCTCTGCGATTTGCCACTTTGCGTGGAAGTGAGAGAAGACTTCGATGAAGCGGTTGTGGTTGTTTCAGAAGACACATTCCCGCGTTTCAGTCCAAGAGAAGTGGCTATGGCTTTGAGAGAGGAACCAACACTTGAAGCTGAATAGCAAGTTAGATGTTTTCATTTTAATAGCACCCGAAAAGAGTCGGCTAGATACCTTTGCCCCCGTTTGTTCCAAACTCTCCTGCTTGTGTGGCATTACGCGCCTGGTTGTTTTTGAGTGTACTCGCAGCATCTTCATCAACTTCTGCAATGCTGTCCATGACAATCTCCCATTGTTCACTCGGGCGCGTCAGTGCAGATGAACTGCTCCCTTCCTCTCTCGCAGCATCTTGTTCATCTTCACTTTTGTCGCTCCTAGCTGCATAGCTCAACGGATCATCAGGCGGAAGTGTCTGTGCGTGTAGCTGGAGACGCTCGACGAGATCCTTGTTCTTTCCATTAGCTTTGATACGATGAATCTTGCATAATTTGACTAATTGGTCACGTTTGAGGGAATTCAGAGCCGGGCTATTGAAGAGAATTTGGGTGGTTGTTGCCATCGTCAAAGCATTTGATAAAACCAAGTTGAGCCTATAATCCAGTTCAAAATAGGTCACCTGATCGCGTTGCATCACGTGACTAACATTGTCTACGATATCGATAATCAAGTGCCGGGGTGCCCGACCGGTACCTGCACGAATTTGTGTATTCATGCCTATCCAGATATTCCTGAGCCCCTCTATCCAACCAAAATGTGTTGGAACCAGTTCCCCTTCAGAGTATACGAGACTACAAGCTGCGGCCTCGGTGCCTTGGGTGCCCCCTCGACTTAGACTTCTGAATGTCGACTTTTCCGAGTCGACTCTTTCAAGTCGGAGAAGGGCACTATGGTGTGTCTGATGCAAATTGAAAAAATGCTTGTAGCAATCTCCCTATTTGAAGTGAGCCATCAATGCTTGGATATAACAGGATGCAATATTATGACTCGGGAAGAAACTGTATGAGTCCCCTCAATGGACCACAATATTCATCGTTGCGATTTCCTTGACGCTGGTGATCTGGAAGGCACTCTAAGTATATAGCCTAGTAAAGTGGGTGAGTAATTAAATGTTAAATATAAAGGTTTCAACTTGTCTCGACCCTTTAAATTTCCCTTCGTTTGTTAAATCGTTAATTTTTTGTTTCCCGCCGAAAAAAAATCCAGAAGGAGGCATAGGTCTAACAAGTTACAATATTATGAAGTTCAGTTCTTAACTCTTCGTACGCGTATACACCCACCAAGTATACGCCGACGATTTGTTCTAGGCGTATCACTGCGTTGCGGTTTCGTTGCCATCGGCCCCGGGCCACCCAGCTTGTTGTTGGTGATGTCTCAGTCCATATATTAGACCATTGTAATAGTTATTTTTACGAACCGTTCAACTATGGATTTATTTTGTTTCACTCTTTCTACCTCTCTTTACTTGTTCTGTGTTTTCACTTGCATCTCCACTCCCTACTCAAACGCATACCATTATTCAGAACAGTGCACAGGAACGGCTGTCCTCTGTACTCGAGGGTAGCCATCTTTTGCAGCGATATCATCAACGGGCAATTTTTGCGCCACCTGTTGCCCACCAAACTCGCGGTCGTGGTGTTTTTTAGACAACATTCACGAGTAGTGAACACGGCACCTCCAGAAACCAAGGTCAGAATGGCCAAACATCACCATTGCCACCGTCGACGGCGACCCCCTTCCTGCCTCAATTAATGGAAGGTACCAGGAGTTGACTTGGCTTGTTGATGCACGAATGGTAGTAGGGCATGCCCTTACTAATCGTGCCAGGTGAGCTGCCTGTCGTTGGCTACCTGCCACCTGCTCTCCCGGTGGCGGTACATAAACACGTTCTCACATTCAGGCAACTATTACTCTTTCTTCTTCGTACAGCCTGATTTTTCCGCGGCCTGGAGACTAATATTGATAGTAGCAGACAGATTTTGAGCGGATCACGGTCGCATTTTGTGATCCACGATCCGGCCAAAACCCGCGTGCTTCCCTTCCACTGGCATTGCATTGGAAACAACTACGATCCTTTTACCATATGAAACCCTCTACTACGATATTAGTGGCAAGGTCGCCAACTTCGTAGCAGTACCTTTTTGTCATTTTAACAACGCTGACTGTGACATTGTCGACGGTGAGTCTTTGTATGGACTAACGCTAGGACTAACGCGTTCCGACAGAATTCAGTCTCGACTTTGTTATTTGATTGCGCTTAAGGTCCAGCAGCCTCTCATCACATACTCTCAGGCTCAAGCCGCTGCAACTCTCGGCGACAATGCAGGCTTATCTAATCTAATTGTCACGTGGACCGGTGACAATACTGTTTCGATCGCACATGAAGGCCTAGTTGATCAAAGGGTTCTTGGAGGTTCTCGGCTACAGTTTTTCAGGGACAATGGAGCATCAAACTGCGGTGGATTTCAATCGCGAAGATGTGGATACACCTATGGCGATGTGGCAACAACAGCTAATTGAAGCCTTTCAACTGGAAACAATTGGGAATATGCCGGTTACGGACAATGAGTGTATGCAATCGGTGGATTGCTTTCTCGATGCTTCTTTGGTAGGTCCATGTTTGCGCATATGGGTCCCAAAAAACTTCCAAAAGCAGCTAAAATTTTGCTAGCAATCTGCTTAAGAGGAAATTTCGAGCGTGACTTGATGGATTGCTTTTGAAACGTCACGTCACAATCCACTCGTCCCTTCTTGTTCCCTTGCAGGTTTATAAAGGTGCCCCTCCTGTCATGGAACCCTCAGTCAAGTTCCCCTCGAAAAACGCGTCCGTCATCTACTTGCATTCAACCCCTCGAAGCCCTTCAAGCTTCCTTGCCATTTAAGCCGCTATTTTCAGTTCTTCCGCCTTTATCACATCACAATGGTCTCGCAAACGGCTAACTACGTTCGTCACATCGACTCGGAGAACACTCCTCCCGCTACACGCATTACTGCGAAACCATCCAAAGTTCGCACCGGTATCCAGGGTGCCTCTCGTCGTCGCCGAGCTCTCGTTTCAGGCGGAGCCCATTACCTTAGGCATGCAATTGAGCATGCCAAGAAGCGCAAGGAGCAAACTCCGTCCAAAAGCCCTCTTGCTCCAGTGCGGATGGATGTCCCCACTATTTCTCGCGATGTCGAGATGGGAGACTCAACAACAGTGTCTAAGATCATCTCCCTTCCCAGACTCCTCGCTCGACCCAAGCCCACTGAGATCCCGGTGTCCATACTTCAGGCTGTGGCACCTGAACTTGTTCACACCCATATTGATTACATTCGCGATGGACTAGAATGCCTCGGGCCCGAGTAAGTCAAGATTCATCTGGTAGTCGATCGATCATCTGACGAATCCTTTTTCAGCATGCTCCGTGTCCTTGCAGGGATCAAAGCTGAACCTGCTTCCAATGTCCTCCCGCGGGAACTTTCGATAATTGTCAACGATGTTTCGTCTGACGTGCCCACCCACATGTTCGCGGTCTTCTCATCCCGCCAGCCGGCCCCTGCTCGCCGTCGTCGCGTCACGTTGTTTCCTGCACACAATCTCGTTTTTGCTATCCACTGCGCGAACCTTCCGGTTCTACCTACTCCAGCACCAGCAATCGCAGAGTGCGCAGGCCAGGTGATCAAAGTGCCAGTGGTTCCTTTGTGCATCCCTGCCCCTGAGGTTTTCCCTCAGCTCTCCTCATTCCTATATACGAAGCGTATCGACCACCTTCTTGGGTCACTTATGCCACTACCCACCCCACCCCAACTCTACCTCGATGATCCTACCACTGTCATGCCTCTTCTCAGACAGTTCGCTCAGAAAATTGCCGATACATATACGGTGAGCGCTCTGCTGCGTCACATTACCAAAGTGCACAGCACGTGGCGCAATACGGTTGCACTGGGCATCGCCGACGAGCGGCTCTGGTGTGCCCTCGATACGGCATGGGAAGTGCTCCTCACGTCCCTCGCAATTTCCACGGGAAAACCTGACCTCATGACAGAGGGCGCGTAAATAGGTCATCTTTCATATCGTCTGCCATTGAATTGTTTAGGATTTATGATATTTCTCACCCTCTCGCGCATGAGATCGGTAATACTTCCATTGACGTTACGTGTATGATTACGCAGTTAACTATCGTCAGTACCATAGAGGCAACATTTTATTATTGATATATATGTGCAATCGTTGTGCCAATTTTCATTTGCTGCCCTTTCAAAGTAGTATCTATCATTGGGCCAAAGTTGCAATATATAGTAGAAATTTGGAAAACGCCTCATAGCTCATGCAACAACACATTTTAAGTTTTCTACTCCGGACCTTCGAAGCTCTATAGCACTGTTTTCCTTGTGAAAATAAGGACGGAGAACATATATATATAGCTTCTAATCTATCACTCGAAGTTGCCTTTTTCACGTAGAGTAAACAAAGGAAGGCGGAGTTTTCGAGCAAAATTCCTCAAAATTCTGGATCCACTCTGCACGAAGTTGCTGTGTCGTTTTCGGGAGTGTGGAAGATGACGGTTGCAAATGATCGCGGGAGGCGTCTGGGAGGCAGCGGTCAGCTCACTGAGCTCAGCCACCATATCAAATTAGTTCCGTCTACTAGTAGGGTATTGCACGAGTATATGAAGGTCACGGTGTCCGTCCTCTGGTCCAACAGTAAACACTTGGGAGAGTTGCGTGAGCGGTTTAAGCTCCTTGGCATCATCCGGGAGATCCAACTTCTCCTTTTTCTCTGGGTCAATATCCAATATCGACCTTATATGATAGACCACAGACAGGAGAGTCACGCGAATTGGTTCCGCGGGATCAAACGTTTCGTCCTTACATATTGTAGATATGCATCAGCACTAACTTGCCAGATCGTGGCATTGGGTCACTGACCTTCCATAGCTTAAGATGCTTAGCATCGACACCATCGAATTCATGCTTATTTTCTTCTTTGATAACCTTTTTCAGGTTACTGACAGTGTCTGTCTGTAAAATCTTGACTGGGAAGATGTGGCTGGGGTCGTCATCTAAGACTAAGCAGTTGAGGTGGATGGACGGGTAGTCGGCTGGTAGAGAACGTATTAATCGTACCACAATCAGTATGGATGAAAAAGTGGCGATAAATTACCAGCAGGTGGCGGTTGTACGACGATGTGTTGCACAAATAGATGAAGGTGTTCATCCTCCTGTCTGACGGTGAACACTTTGGAGAGTCGGGTAAGTGGCTTAAGGTTCTCGGCGTCATGCGGGAGATCTAACTTCTCCTTCTCCGGGTCGATATTAACCTTCAAGTTCCATATCGTCAGAGACTCAGCACCACCAACTTCCCAGACTGTGGCATCAGATTACTCACCTTCCATAGCTGGAGAGTGTCTGCATCCACGTCACGAAATGCATTCCTCACTGTTTGCTGACGGTATCCGTCTCTAAAATCTTGACTGAAAACGTGCGGCTGGGGTCATCGCCCAAGATGAAGCAGTTCAGTTCGAAGTTGAACTCCACTGGAACAAGAGTAGGCATGATGGGTATTGGTACTTAGCTATTACCGATCGGGCATCGTTTGTTGACTGGAATCACATTTTCCACGAGTAGTACGTGATGTCCGCAAGGCACTACTCGTCTCTCGCTGCAATACACATATCTCTCAACCCGTCATTCGCAAATTGCCACTCTCCCTCGACGACCTCACGCTTGTAGTGGATGCTTTCGCAAACTCTGATATCTATGACGACATCTCGTTTGTCGCTATGCTCGTCACTGGGTTCAAGACTCTTCAACGCTTGGTTTGGCCTGTCACGCTCAAAATTCAGTCTTGTCGCAAGTTAGTCATGTACTTTACTTTATCAATTGCTTTTGGCACAGCATGAGGGACGGAACGATCCTTTGGCACTTCTCAGCCGATATGCGTTTGTCCGTAACCAACGATTTCACCGTCATCCGTAGATCTGGCTCACTGCACTACGCCAGTTCTTTTCGCCTACTATTTCTGGACATTCGATGGGAGGCGCATATATCGCTATAGCTGCAACTGGTGCTGTAATACAAGGCTTGAATAGCAGCAGAACGCTGGTCCTCGGATGAGTTCCAAAGATACACTCGGAAGACATCTCATCCATGGGTTTAGGGCACCGTGGCTCCTCGAAAATTGACAACGCTGCATGCTCGTTTCGATTCTGTATTATCCATTGCCTCGACTGTGCGGTATTTCTCGAGAGTGTCGTCTGATATTGGCCCATCACTGGTGTGCTTGTCGTCTCGTCTATATATAAAAAGGAAGAGAGAAAAAATATGATAAATTTGGAATAGCCCTATTATAGTGTTTTTGTCGAGACTCGCGCGTAGATCTCTCCCTTAAGTATCTGCCTCGCACATTTTGTCCTCAGCGTTCTCGCTGACCGGTAGTGTACGATATGATCTGCGAGTGTACAGTTTCTCGTTGTCAAAACGGTCCTCCGAGTTCGAGCAAATATTGAGCTGGACTCGGCTTGCCCTAAACCCTGTCTACTACGAGTGCCACTTTCACTTGATTACAGTGACACTGACACTGACGCCAACTCGCTCATGGTAATTCTACTGTTTCTTATGTTTTGCATCGGCATATCTTTGGCAGCACCATTTGCACACCACCGTGACTGAGGCAAGAATACGTGTATCGAAACAGAAGGCTTCTAGCTGTACCAGTGGTAGCAGTTGCCAGCCACACTTCCCCGACTTCCCGGTCTCACAAGCAGTGGTCGACAGCACATAGGATCTTGTCCGTGTATAATTAGCATATACAAGAATGTAGACAAGGCAATGAGAAAATGATCGGAAGCGGAAGTCCGGGACTTGGTGCGCATGTACCGCCGTCGATCTAATAAAGTCTGTGGCGCTGATCTGGGGGGAACCTGCTATTGAACCTAGTAGTGATACAAACACTTTGTTTTTCGAAGCCAATAAGTTCGAGAGAACAACACAGAAGTGCGCGAAGGTGCTCAACTTGAGGCTTGAGGTGAGGCTAGGACCGCTAGGTGAAGGCTTGCTTAGTATTCACGCTACTGCCATTGATCAAAAATCTTATCATAGCAACAAAGTTTTGTCTGTCAAACTGTGGAATTCAATGGTTGGCTGTGAATATTGCTGTGCAATCCATTGACGACTACGGGCAACCGTGCATTCGAGGACTGGCCTCGGACCCACAAAGCCACAGAGGTCACCTGGTAGTTGTCCTCTTCCACAGTAGACTGCCTTGAATTTGACGCAAGTATTCGCAAGTGACTGGTGAGTCTTGTCCACTAGTGTAACCGGAGCCAACAACTTCAAGCCATACATCACCTTTTTGCAGGCTTTCAAAATGCCGCAAGCATCAAATGCCTACTTCATTTGAATTTATATATTCTGGTTCACCGGAAGAGCGGACAGTAAACCGTTATCAATCATTCAAATCTCGCAGTTTAGTTCATAATGTTTATCCCCTGTGGATCTCAGGTAGGTCTGTTCGGGCCGCATTGGCGGCACGGAGATTATGATGACCTTCGACGACCTTTGACGAAGATGCAATCTTAGCAACATCATTGACCCAGCATCTTCACGGTAACCTAGCGACTCCCTCTTCGTTTCCGACACTAATGTATATGGTCGCCCAGTACCTTTGTACTTGGCCTCCTTCACATCTGTCGCTCTGTTTCGTTGCAAGCACAACAACTGCATTGCGGTATGTATTTATCATCCCTGGCGACGTATGCTGCCGTAGTGTCCATTTTTTCTCCATCACAATCATATCTCCTCACTTCTCGGTCGCTGGGACCTTCTACTGACTTAACTATCTCAAATAAAGTTATTGCGCCAGATGGATTTTCACGCTCGTAAGTGCACCCACAATTATTTATGTTCGTTCGACGATGTTGTGATTTACCAGGACAACACTTGCCGGAGGAACATTTCCCGGTCCTCTGATCAAAGCTAACAAGGTATCAATTTCACCTGCATCCTTTATGTGTTTCTAAAGTTTCGCATATAGGGAGACCACTTCGCCATAAACGTAGTGAATAAGCTAGATGATAGCTTTATGCTCACAAGCACCAGTGTTGTGAGTGACCAAATCTACCTGTATTTTTTTGGTAGTTAAATGATATTGCAGCATTGGCATGGGCTATTCCAGAACGGAACGAACTATGCAGATGGTGTTTCATTCGTCACACAATGTCCCATTCCCCCAAACTACTCATTCCTTCACGCCTTTGATGCCCCGAATCAGGCTGGCACTTACTGGTACCATAGCCATTATTCCACACAGCAATGGTTTGTCGACTCAAACTTTTCTGACAAGATGTTTTGAGATCCTGATATCCAGTGATGGTCTCCGTGGCCCTTTGGTAATTTATGATCCCGATGATCCCCTGTCTTATTTGTATGACGTCGATGATGGTAAGTGAACGAACATATAATCATAGTATTTAGCTTAAATCATTGCTAGAGACCACAATTATTAGCATTGCCGATTGGTAAATCCTAAAATTCATTTCTAGTTGCCTTCTCGTCATCTTTCCACAGGTATCATATCGTGTCCACAATTCTACGTTACATAATTGGCGTCGGCCCGGATTCAACGTTGATTAATGGGCTTGGTAGATATGTTGGCGGGCCAGAATCCGAACTTGCCGTTGTCAACGTCGAGTATGGAAAGAGATACAGGCTGCGACTCATTGGGATGTCCTGCGAGCCTTCATTCAAATTCTCTATCGACGGACACAACCTCACTGTGATTGAAACAGATGGTATACTTACTGAGCCACTCTTAGTCGACTCGCTCCGGATTTTCGCTGGACAACGGTATTCTGTCATCCTCACAACTGATAAGCCAGTGAACAACTATTGGCTTCGCGCGCTTCCAAGTACCACTGGGTCCACGTTTGACGGTGGCCTTAACTGCGCCATCCTGCGATACAGAGGTGCACCAGCTGCAGATCCAGCCACGGACTACACAGACAGCACCATGCCGATGCTCGAGACGAACCTTCATCCCCTCATTAATCCTGGTGCAGCTGGAATTCCTGAGTATGGCAAGGCGGAAATCAACCTGAACTTGGTCGTCGATAACATCGGTGGACTGTTTTTTATCAACGGTGCTGTCTACGAACCTCCCATCGTGCCAGTACTCCTGCAAATTCTTAGTGGTGCACAAGATGCCACCGATTTGATGCCCATAGGAAGTGTTATTGTGCTGGAGGCTAATAAAGTTGTGGAACTGACCATGACTACAAACGGCTTCGGCGCACCAGTAAGCAATATTCATTCCGTAATTGCATAGCGTCTGATGGAATTTAGCACCCGATCCACTTGCACGGGGTTTGCATTCGGTCTTTTTGGTGCTGAAACATTCTGACAAACATCCAGCACGCATTTGATGTCGTACATTCAGGTGGTGCCAGTGAATTCAACTATTTAAATCCTGTGCGCAGGGATGTTGTCTCTAGCGGTGCTGCAGGTGAGAAAATGGTCATACGGTGGGTCACAGATAATTCCGGACCTTGGTTTTTGCACTGGTGAGCATCCCAGCCCATTTGCATAGTTTGTACTCATCCTCCGACAGTCACATAGACTGGCATCTCGATGCGTGAGTCTTTTGGCCAAACTTCGTTACTATGAGACTCAGTACCCTAGTGGCTTCGCGATTGTTATGGCTGAGAGTCCCACTGAAACCCAGACACACCTGAAGGGATTACCCAGTGGGTATTACGTGGGATTTGGTCGTACACGACTCATCGCGATTGTTTCCTAGCTGCCTGGGGAGACCTTTGCCCTGCATACGATTCGTTGACATCACAATTGGGGGTGGTCGACTCATATGCAGAAGCAGCTAATATAACGACCTTGCTTCTTCCCGATCACTAAAGACATTTTCACCAGCAGGGCTGGGGGAAAGCGCAAGAAAGGGTGGTTCTATATTGCTTAGAACAATTGATGACACCGAGGAACATTTGCGCCTCACATGAGACATTCATACAACCTACGCTCTGTACTTAGAATGCCTAGATAGAATGCCCAGCAATATCGAACAAAGTGTTTTAATTCAGTACATGGGTAGTGCCGCATCATAGATTGTCGACAGGAAGCTCCTATTGCATGGCGGGCATCGAACAAAATTAATGCACACTGCTGAAGTGACTGCAGCCATGTACAGAATCAGCTTATATGCAGCGCACAGTCCAAATAGTTCTACTCAGCCACCAATTACTGTACGAGCATTCTGCAATGTACAAGGTTCTCAAATATTAATAACTGTCACGTAGCATACATCTTCCGGCAAGACCCCACTCCCTCGAAGCCTAAGAGTATTTCCAGAAGGAATAGTGATTAATGTGTGCGGTGTCAGGTATCGATAACAAGTACATGATAGAGAGATCGACGAAAGAGCGTGCATCATCTTAACTCTACGTATATCAACATAGTAATTCCATCCTTGTAGTCAATATCAAGGCTAGCGTTCGTGGTCAAATGCTCTTGGGGTTGCCACCTGACTTCGCAGCCAGGCTCACAGCAGCGAGCTTCTCACTAACATCGATACCCTCCGCCGCTTTCCCATTTGGACCCTTTGCAATAGATATATCGTCCTGAGACTTGAGCGATCGTTCTTCGTCGGCGTTGTGATGGTGAACGACATTTATATCCTCGAGCATTTCCTTTTCAGACTCTTGCTTGAACTGGTACAAATCATCGTTCAACTTCTGCGCCTCTGGTGACAGGTGATGGACGAGCGATGTCATGCGCCTCATCGCCATCATACCCAGCACGGCTTTTCGGACTGCAAGTTACGTTGCTCAGTAATTTCACGAGTGAAAGGGGAAAATGAGACGCACATGTCTTCTTTGCATCGAACGCCTTCCTGACGTGTGGCAACAAGTCTCTTGGCTCACCCGTCTCGTTCTCGACGAAGTGAGGTACCTCAGATGTGAGCCACTCGTGCTCAAGCATCTGTGCTGCAGTCGGGCGTTCGTCGGGATCGACAGTCAAGCAAGTGGCAACAAACGTCCGCGCAGTGTCAGAGACAAGGGACCAATACTCATCTGTAGACGTATGAGGTGGCTCGGATGGCAAAAGATAGAAGGAACAGACCAGGCTCGAACTTATAATCTCCGGCGATGATGGCTTCCATCTCTTGTCGTTGGGTGTCACGATCGAAAGGGGTGTAACCTATACCAAGCTTTCAGCACTGAAATCATTACAAGCGTGTCATATATGCGTACCAGCAAGCAGGAAATACGTGATTACGCCCATGGCCCAGACGTCGACAGGTTTTCCATGACCCGCTAGAAACAGTGTTAGGATAATGGTGAATGTCGTAGAATCACATTGTCGCACTCTTTTTGAAGATCTCGGGCGCCATGTACTACCAAAGCGTTTTAATCCACGTGCGGGAGCCGAACAACTCGAACTCACCCCAGGCGTGCCGCAAACTTCCGTCAACATGCTCAACTTGTTCTCCGCCATGACTCGACTAAGACCGAAGTCTGCTATCATGATTTCCGAAGTCTTCTCAGGCTTCGACCGGAAGAGTAAGTTCTCCGGCTTGAGGTCACGATGCACGATCCCACAGTCATGGATATATTTAACTGCCTGAAATATGGTGCGGACGAGCCCAGCCGCGTCACTTGCGTGTGGAATTGGTGATGTGTGAAATGGGAAATAGGGGATACTCACGCCTCAGTGTATTGTCCCCTAGCACATATGCTATCGAAGAGTTCGCCACCAGTGCAAAGATCGAAGCAAAGGTAGAGGTTGTGTGATGTCTAAAAATAGAAATGGAGCATTTGGTCAACACGCTGTACAAGAGCGTGTTCGCTGTGCACGGACCTCGAAGTAGTCGTGCAGTGTCACAATATTTGGGTGACCACTCGATATCCTCTTCAATACAGCGATCTCGTTGCGGACCTGAAGTAAAACGTAATCAGCACTGTTGGTCCGATGTTATATCGCAAAAGAAGAGGGAAAGTGGTTGCGGGCCTGCAAAAGTTTGGATCTGGCGGCTGGTAGATCATTGGACAGAATGTGCCCTGATCAGCGATCGTTATCGAAATCATCGCAGCGCGCTTGTTTTTCCCATGACTGACGCGCTGTAACGTTACTTGACAGCATGATATAATCAGACAATACAGGTTCAAATGCAGGATGCGCCCGCAGCGGCAGCGCAGCTAAACGATACAAAGCGGGATAGCGTATCCATGCTCACCATGTGCTCCCTCCCTTCCATGAGTTTCTTGTTAATGACTTTGCAAGCATAGTATTTGCCTGTCTTGATGTGTATGGCCTCCTTCACGATAGCATATGTGCCGCTTCCAAGCGTGCGACCTGTGCGGTACTGCAGCAAGCAAGCAGATGATGTCAGAACGAGAAAAGCAAGAAGAGCGATAATGCATGCGATGAGGGACAAACTATCCCCTCCTTTCTGGATGATAACTGTGGGCGGCAGGATTCAATCACATACCTGACAAGGAACGGTAGCAGATTGAGACGGCATGATTGCTCCCTGAGCGTAAGAGTCCTGATTCTTGTGGTCCGATGAAACGAACAAGGGGTAGATGGAGGAATTGGAAGAAGATGAGATTTAGAAGCAGCTGTAGAGCAGACCAAATCAAATCGCACCTCAATGACAGACTCCGGTATGCTTTCCTTTTCTGGGGGTGGCGGCGGCGGCGTGGGCGGCTTGCTGACTTGCTCTGGTTCCTGTTGTGGCTCTGGCTCCGGCACAGCAACGATGGTCGGTGGGGGCGATGATGCGACCGAAGAAGTTTGCTGTTGCGGACGCTTGCTCAATCCCACTGACGCTGCCAACGTAGAAGTCGAAAACCGCTGCGAGGGCTTTTGAGGCGGAGTGAGGGTTTGCGCACGTCTCGATTTGCGCTTTTCTGCCTGCTGGCTCACGTTATTCCCCATGCTGTCGCGTCAGGACTCGAAAAATGTCAATAAGTCGGTGAGGGATGGTCACGGCGAGGGACGAAGCAGTAGGCTCACTGCCTGGAATTATCAAAGGTCGAAGGGTATCAGGTAAATATATACCGTTTAAAATACGAGTGGGCGCTTCGCTGACCTTCTATGTCGAATTCGAAGCACAGGTAATACTTTGCCAAGTTGCCGCAGAGCTGTGCACTTCGACTGCACTGCGTTCCTGACAAGGTCTCTCTTCGTCCCTGTAACCTGTTCTTTCGTCGAACACCTTACTCGACCCGAGTCAAGTTTTAAGCTTAAGGCTGGGTAAGAACCTGCTGGCACTGGCTATGCTAGGCAAGAACACGAGGTTTTCATCTCGGATCCCCGCCGCTTACAAGCGAGGTTCACCAATCACTGCAGGTAAGTAGCCCTAGCTGGATTCGACTCCGAAGAATTAGCATTTCACACTAGTACTCTGTCCTCCACAAGCCGTGCTCCATATTGATCAAGTTGTACGTCAATTCACCGGTCTGCATAGTGATTCCCATATTGATGCAATTTAGTTACCAGGTGTCTCGATACCTGTGTGCCGTTGGCTGGACAAGTCAGAGAGTCATTAACACTGGTCATTCATAAGTAATGTTCGAACAGTCAGAGGAACCCACAGCTTCAGACGTGTTTGACTTGCGCAAAATTTGGTAGACTATGTCCTATCATGTCTTGACCAATGACTCGGACTCTGAATCTACCGATTGGCACCATAGTGCACGGGATCATTACGAGGTTTTTGGGGCATTACTTAACTGATAGTACCGGACCAATCTAAGTAAAAGGTAAGGTTTAGGGAGAACAGTGTGGAAATAATCTTGACGCGAACAACGCACGTCGCAAGCCAAGATCAGCACACTTCCGAGTCGTGCCCATAGAATCTTCCAAACGTTGTACTGATCTGAAGTACAGGTCGAAACAAAAGGGGCTACAATAAAGGGGCGACTATGCAGGCTACCGTCCAAGTAATAATTAATAATACTTTCCATCATGATGCATCTTGTCTCGGAACCTTAAATGGCATGCTTGTGACTGTCACGCAATCCAAGGACATGAGTGCAGAGTCTGAAACCACGAATCTTCACTCCCATCAAGTTTGAACTTGCTACGTTTGGCCCACATAAGCTCTATTAACTATGCTCAGGCTCGCTCAGTGTGCTACATCTTGCATTCATGAACATCGGCTGGCTCAGAAGCGGTTACGGTCCCGAACTTCTTGTGCGTACCCGAGTTCGTGATATAGTAGCCTGCCACAAATTAGTTTTAACGTAAACTCACGTACAGCCCAGAAAACCAACGGATCGTCCCGTTCTTGCTTTCTTGCATACTTGGATGTGGACTACGACGAAGAACATACCAGTTTCACTAGATTTTACCATATCTCACCCAGTTAATTGTCACCATGCTCATCCGTCTCGTCCCCTCCGTATCACATGGCACTGTTCTCTACAACGTCTCTTTTCCGATCAACATTCCTAATTTGCCTACTCCCCCTGCGTGGTCAAACCAGTTACACCATCTGGCCTCGGTGTTATGCCTCGAACCTCCCCAGAACATTCATGTGTTCGACCGTTCAGTTGGTCTGGTCGCCCGGATAACTGAAGTCATGTTCGATCTACCAACCAAGGAGGTCGTCGTGAACTTCGTTGATGGGCGCATTGAAAAGCTGCCTATGAACTCGCACTGCATGCAGATGCTTCAAGGCGTTCTTGACGACGTTAAAACGTGCACTGAACAGGAATCTCGACGAGATAGCTTCGAATACGCCACCTCCACTAGCATCTGCAGCAATGCGGTCAGTTCTCAGGATATCCCTAGCGCCCCCCCGAAGTCTCCGAAATTGAGCAGGCATAAGAAGCAGCGCTCCCTGCTGTTTTCTTTGATCTCGTACGTATTGTCGTGTTCCTTGTGCTTTCTCTAGACTGACTTGTTTTGGGCTGCTCTTCAGCTCGTTGGTACCACGTTCCTTGTCTCCGCCCCCGGCCCCTCCTCCATCACCTACCACACCCTACCCCTCGTCTCCCTCTCCCCTTCCGCCAATCCCCCCTATTACACCCCGCAATACATCATTTTCTCCCATCCCGCAATCTCCAGTCTCCCCCTGTAACCCCGCTTTCCCACCATCAACAGATCCGCCAATTCTCCGTCGTCGTGCACGCGCTACACTTATAGATGCCTGGAGACGACATGTTGTTTGCGCGCTTTCGGCTCACAACCATTATGCAGGGTACACTGAATGGGTACTCCGTGGTATGGCTACCAGTGCTCGCACCGAACTGAGGGAAATCGAGAAATCCTGGCAGCCTGGGCGCGGTGCGACTCGCAGACATGGAAGGATACAAAGTGAAGGGAGACTCGCTCTTGACTTTGGTGAGCGCGGCTCTGAAGAGACGCAAGGACAATGGCGTGTACCTTCGCCATTTCTTGACGAAGTCGAGGGTGAAAATGATGATTGCGTCGTATATCCTCGTCACCAACAAGGTTTGGTTGATTCCATTCTAGAATGCTGTATTTCTGAAAAGCTCGTAGCACACGAATGCGGCGCAATTCGCCATGTCCGTAACCCAAGTGCATGCGATGAACTGGAAGCGTATGCTTTTGAGTTCAGCGTGGAGAATGGCAGCCTCTTACGCGAGAGCTTCGGCTTTGGAACTGATGTTTTTGGTGATGTGTGGGATGATGATGACCATGTCGCTTTCGATAATTTTGGCGCCCTGCGCCTAGGAGCGGAGTTCACCTTCGACAACGGACAGCTCAATTTCAACGAGGATTTTGGAAGTGATTACGAGGGTGGCGACTATTATGCTGACATGACATTTGCTGCTATGCCGTCCGATGCCACCGAGGAAGATGAGTCAGATGAAAGCCAAACATCTTTGCGTACCCCCGAGGACGGTGAAATGCTACCTCTGCCGCTCCCGGCTACATTACCAAGATTATCTGAGAACGGTTCATGCTTTCAGCAGCGCAGTCATTTTGACGCTGTTCCGACGGTTGTCTCAAAAACCACTTCTTCCCGTCCAAAAACTCGACCTCTTCGTCCAAGCCCCGGAGATCCTTCTGCTGCGCCGCACATATGTGCCAAGCCCACTACCGCGGCGCCATGGAACTGCCGATCGGCGATGCATCCACAGCAGTTATCCACGCATTTCCCTTCATCACCGTCTCGTCTGCCCAAGCGCATGTCCATTCCGAACGCGGAGGAACTTATTTCCACTCGTGTTGCCTTACTTTCACGAATTCGAAGTGCTCTAACTTATGTGCGTACTCGCGCACGCGAGGAGCATTGGGGCTTGTTATGGTCACAAAGCTCTTTTGGGGGTGGATTGATGGACCCTGAATCTGAGGGGCAGCTTGAAATTAGGGCACGCAGGCGTGCATGGAGTGCAGGCATCAAAGTCACTGCGGCTTCTGCGCCAACCTTATTTTCGGTCGCTGTCCAGGGTTCTAGCCCGGGTACGAGGGTATGGGATGGTTCGGTCCCATCTGCTGTGCATATCCCTTATCGACCTCCTGGACTCATACCACCTGTGAAAAAGGTGAATGGACCGATTATCCCGACTGGCCTTGTGTTAGGCAGACCTGTCAGGCGGTCACCATTAGCCATGTATGTGTGGAGCGCGGATGATGTGGCCAAGAAAGACACTGGTCGTCACAGCAAATACGGAGATATTGACCTGAAACGTGGTGGAGGAACAGCGGCTTTGAAGCGCCCCCTGCGTGTTTCATTCCTCGAAAGTCCCACTAAATTGCTTCCTGTTCGTGAGGAAGGCGACGACGAGGAAGGAAGAACCTCCAAGATCGACTTCCCGCAAAGCCCTACGTCGCCGACTTCACCTGAAGTTAACTCAGGCATCACTCCGGACGAGAGATATGGTATCAACCAGGGTGATGTCAGTGCGACTGATGATCCATTCTTTTGTTCTCCCTTTCATGCGCGTGCGCGGACTACGAGCATGTATCCTTGCTCTCAATCCTCGCAGGAACTCCCTATGTTTAGGCCAAGGACGCCTCCTCCATCGTATCAGGCTGCCATTGGTGAAGATAACACCGATGATGATGACGATAACGACGATGAATCCGACAATGGAACACTCGATGCCTGTGCACTTTTATTCCAACCTCTTTCAACGCTGTGCTTGACATCGCCCACAAAAACTACACCTACACGGCCTCCGCTAGTAACAGCTCCGCCATTTACCCCTCGAGTTCGTGCTGTGTCCTTACCCACGTGCCCACGTCGCCCACGTAGTCCATCTCTCTCTTCGAGGTCAACCGATGAGGGTTATCAGGATCTGTCGCAGGCTTACGTTGCGCCACCACCAACCACCCCCATTACGGCAGCGCCAACCATTGCAGTGACTGAGTCTTACCTCACTTATGCGCACCTTCATGCCCCAGTGCCTATCAGTGGGAAAGCTAGCGTGACAAAAGGCATGTGTGAGAAGGGAAAGGGAATAGCCAGCCAGGAGGTGGTCTTTGAGCGGAACGGGGAGGAATATACTCTGGGTCTGGAAGTGGCATTGGGTAGGGCAGAGGAGGGACGCTCAGTCTGGTGAAAACAGAAATGCAGTTCAATAGAACCAAAACTTGGGAACCGACTACTAACTGCTCTAATCCTTATTCATGTCTATCATGCTTTCTTTCGCACTAGCTTTCGCGTTTTCGCCACCATGTAAGTGCGTGTTATCTTCTGGTGTACCTGCGAGCTCATCTGTTTCTTTAGAGGATCTTAATTGACACATCTCCGGCTTCCGCCTAATAGTCAGCATTATAATAATGCTTTTACCTAGACCATCAGATATATTGATCGAATCTACTGGTCATGTGTCACTTAGTCTCAGCAGGCCTGGAACTTTCATTGCTTAATGGATCCTCGCACACGGTCATAAAATTCATTCATTTTGAGCTTGACGTGTTGCACCCGTTGTGCACCCGCCTTCCTTCGTCAATGTGCACGTGGCATATACATTTTAGCTAAGCATCAGTCGCGTTTACCAAACGCCGCTCCCTACAAGCAGACGATGACAAAGGCGGGTTGCCACCGTCCACACGTAAAGAAAGAGCATGGAAGCGAACCGATTTGGCACGGATCACAACCTTGATGTTGAACTAGAGTTGTGATAGAGTTGCCGTGAGTGCTCGGTAGCACTGGACGCAATTAATTCTTCAGTTTGCCGTTGATCGGTGTCCCACCCCACCCCCAAATCAATCAACTATGTAAGTATGTACGAAATCGTGATCTATACACGCTCAAATTAGATAACAATAAATCCCCGTTACATAATGAGCTTGCAGGTACGAACGGAGAACGTTGTGTTGCTGAATATGAATTTGTCTCACTGAGATAAAATTACACTGCGGTGGGAGTCGGTGATTAAATATGTTATTCCCCTCACCCCATCTTCGAGGAACGCCGCAGAAGAGCCGTCGAGCCTACTACCACCCGAACACCCTATTTTTGAAGATCATCAGATGATGATGCACCGAGATTAAGCGAACGCTTACTCCTCGTGCATCTCAATCCCACCAACGGCCCAGCGTCTTCCACCATCTACTTGAGAAATCGCGTGCGCGACATCATCACCCATACCCGTTGGGCCGCACACGCCAACCACGACACCTGTGATGTCCAAGCTGGCCTTGACATTAGAACCGTAAGATACCGCACGCGACATCACTGCGTCAAGGACTTTGGCGATCTTTGGACGTCCTGCGGTGAGTGTGAGCCCTGGTGGGAGGAAATCCTTTCCCGCGGGTTTCTCGGATGTGCGCGTGTAGTGGACAGATATTTTGAGTGGCGTGTAGATGCTTTGTTGGATAAGCGCCGTTAGTTGAGGGACAAGTGGAGTGAGGGAGGCTAATGGGTATGAGGAACGTTCAGTCAATACGGTAACAATACGGACCAGAATCTTTAACACTCCAAATGACTTCTATAATTTTTACTCGACTGGCACCTTCCGAATCTCTCTAGCAGCAGAGGTTGAGACAGGAAGTTAAAAATGCTCAATTTGACTTACTTGTAGGATGTCCTGCACAGCTGAGAGAGCAAAGGTAATCCCACTTCCGCCAACAACGAATATCGCGGCAGAGTAGCTCGCAAATACGCAATGACCTGGTCCACCTACACGACAATAAACAACCATTAAAAATGCCTGTTGCCACTTACCGTATGGTCCTTCAATCATAACTTGCACCGTCCTCCCATATGCACCTTCATCTGATCCGTACCCCGCAGCTTTTGCCATATCATACAATCTCCCTGTCCACCCACCGGTCTTCTTACACAATAACACCATGCCTTCAGGTGTCTTCGTAGCGGTAGCAATGGTAAATGGGTGACTCTCTGCCCAACCGAACCATCCCATGGCGGAGGAAAGCACACGGAGGCGTACGTGTTGTCCTGCCCTCCAGCCAGCATTGAGCTGGGGAACTTCGATACGTGTGAGCATGAGATCTGGAATAGGACGTATGCGTGCATTAAACACGCGTGTTTTCATAAATCGGATGAGGTAGTCGAGGCTGATGATACCGGCGGCTGCAATGACGTATGGCCAGACGCCAGGTTGATGAGCATGAAGCTGGATATGCATTGTTAGAAGCTGGCAATGGCATGGACGCAATTTGGGCTCACAGCTGGGAGAAAGAAGACGAATAATACGACATGCGAGCAGTAGAAGAAATTGTATGCCCGTCGTCTGAAGAATGGGATCGAAAATAGGTATATAAGATCTACAATGACGAGCGCAACAAAGGCCCATATGTGTGGTGACATGCGAATGTTTTGAGAAAATGTATGATCGATCGTCCATTGATAAACTAGAATGAGGGCGACCACCGGACATCAGCGCTGAGCAATCACGTCCTTCTCAAACTCACTGTAACCAATCGAATGTACGTTAGATGCAATCACGAGGAGCGTCCCCGCAAACCTATGGATGTAGTTGAGCTGTGGAGAGTCCGTAAGAGTTAACCCGAGAGATTACAATCACTGACCTTCTCATACCCGAGACCAAGAAATATACCCAATATATTATTTTTTGTCGCCAACAAATATACAACAGGAATCTGGGACATCGCTACGAATCCAGTACGCAACGGATCGGCAAAGGGGTTTGACTTTAGGAATCCAGCATAGACCAGAGCCGCAGAATAGATCACCAGGATCAGTGCCTGACCAACAGAGAAGCCAGCGTCCAGTCTGTACCTCAGGATATTAGCGAAAGTTGGGATGCGCGAGGACCATGCGCAGACATGGGGTGGGAGTGACCAGCCTTCTTTCTTTGCCGCTGGGTGTCGAATGAGATGTGCTTCGGAATGCAAGGTGTGTGATTCCTCCGATGTAAGGTTGTCAGCTGTGGAGGGGCCGGCTGAAGGAGATTGTACGGAGCGCATAGGGGGCCTTGGCGCTCGACGCTCGAGCGGGATGGCACGGAGGATATGTCCATGGCGCCATTCTGCGGCGCGGGAGAAGCGTGCAACAGCACGAGGGAGCGCGAACAGGGCAAACACACCGGCAAGTGCGAGAAGGAAGACATCGATGTGGAATACAAGTTGGAAGGCGTTCACGGCAGGAGAGGTACTTGATACTGATAGTGTTGTGGCTTCCATGTTTGGAATGGTTCAACCTGTTGGATCGGTTGGAAGGTGAGGCTAGCAAAATGAAGGTATTAGAATAAGTACGGGACCACACCGCGTCGTTGGCTAGTGTGAATGGGAATCTTGGATGATGAGAGGATGTTAAAGGCGACTTGCATTCAAGTCTATATGGAATGCAGATGGATAAGCATGCTACCTGCGCCGGTAAAGCATGGAAGCGATGATCGATATGGAATATTCATGAAACGTGTTTGCATCGTGTCAATCAGTCCGAGTCACAGTGAGGGAGTATTGATGCCATTAGTAGGCATACAGTGTGGTTGTACTGCGGCGGAAATGAACACCTGGCCTATGAATATTATCAACCGAAGTTAACCTGCCGAGGAGATGAGTTCGACGTGCTGCATGCACTTTGTTACTCTCACTGTACTTACATGTCCAATGATTCCGTCCTGAAAAGGTTCGTGTGAAATCTCGTGGATCATGTCGGGTCTTGTATCGAAGCTAGTCTGCCAGGATATAGGCCATAGCAATATTTGGAGAAGGTGAACTTCAGGTATGGTGCCTGGCACCTGCCCATTAACTCCGCCTAGGTTATCTCCCTTGCCAGCGGCTACCCTCATGTCCCAAAACTTTGCCGTTGTCTTGCATGCCAGTGCTTGCAGTCATTCAATTGTCAAATGCGAGTCCACCCGCTTGTTCTATGTAGTTGACTCGCCACACGACTCTTTCAAAATATTCGTGAAGCAATCAACTGAAGCCATCGATCCTTTTCACCTCTCTTAGGCTGCGAACTCAAACATGTGTGAGCTTCATCAACTGCGGACGAGGGATTATGCTGCCCGCTGGCAGCAGTGGTGGCCGACGATATGCTCACAAGCCATTAGGGAATTGTAAATCACAGATGCATGCCTCTCGTCTATAAGATTTCCCGCCGACTGACCCAACCGCACGAATAGAGACATCACCATAGTCAGTGCCAATCTGGCGTTGAATCAATATCGTCTTGGTCGGTGTTCCGCCGTCAATTTCAAGGCTCAAACACATCTGCTTATCCAATACATTGACATTACATTTCGTGGTGTCTATTGTCCAAAAGCAAATGGCTGCTTGTTAGATAGTAATAGCGAGCGAGCTGCTTGTCTTATCGGATATACTTTCTCTCACAGTGAGCCCACCAGTCACCTGTTGATGTATTCTAATATCGACTGTTAATGTAGGACACGTCTACCATAGTTAAGTCACAGTGTACTTACTCCGCTACGGGAGAGTGTTCAATGCCAAGGCAGAGGCGCATATTGTTGCCTCTCCCACCAACACCTTCCGGACCTGAGCATGACATAGACCTGAATCTGGAATTGAGCTCTCACCTTATCTCTACTTTCTCTCGTTCCATATAACGTTGGTTATCCGACTGTTAGTGTGTCTTACATTCACTATGGGCCAGCTAGAAAGTCCATCCTCTAGTGAGGGAAAGGTCATCACCAAGGAAGAGGCATGCAATGTTACCGTATCCGACCAACGCCTTCTGGACCTGGGGTATAGACCTGAATTCCGCCGCGAGATGTCTCTCTTCGGAGTGCTTGGGATATCATTCTGTTCCATCGGCATTCTAAACGGAATGAGCAGCGCTCTTCAGACGGGGTTGTTCTCTGGAGGTCCCCTGGGTCTGTTTTGGGGATGGAATGTGATTTTGACACTTAATCTCCATGAATATGACAATAACTCATGTTCCATCCAGATTTGCAGTTTATTCATGCTTCTGATCGCATTCAGCTTTGCAGAGATTTGCAGCGCATAGTAAGCAATCCATGTCCTGTCAGAGCCTACGTCTTAGGTTGTCGCATAGCCCAACAATGGGAGGACTCTACTTCTGGGTTTGCAAGATGAAACCAGACGTGCCTATCCTTGGCTGTAAGTCTCAATGTCCATCCTCCGAGCAGTGCCTGAATGAATGATCAGTCTTTACTGGTTGGCTTTATTCTATGGCGATGGTATTCACTGGTGTTTCCGCTAATTTGAGGTGAGTTGTCTCTATCATTGAATCAGAACCTACGATTTGTCATCTAGTGCCGCTCTGTACCTTTCGTCCATGGCAGAGGTTGGGCGAGGAAGAAGTCTAACGAGACTAGAAATCGCTGCGATCGCATGGGCCGTAAACATATTCTCTGGCATAATCAATACTATTGGAACGAAGGCCATAGGACACATGAGCACATTATTTGTTTGGTGGACGCTCGGGGGCACAGTTTGTTTAGTCACCACACTGCTTGTGAAAGCACCCAAGATGGTAAGGTTCTGTCAAAGCCCAAGGCACGCGGAATCTGATTATGTCTGACAGAACTCTGTTGACTTCGTGTTTACTAATGTTCAAAAGTAAGCTTTGCTCATTTTATGAATGAAAGAGTCGTTGACTGGTCGACTAGCTTCACCGGCTGGCAATCCCAAGGCTTTGTCGTGCTTCTTGGGTTTCTTCAGGTGAGGATCGGCTCTACACATGTTGTACTGACTCACGGCGCGACCTTACCCTAGGCTGTATACACGCTCGAGGGGTGCGAAACAGCAGCTCAAGTAGCGGAAGAAGCTGTACGGGCAGAGATCCTGGCTCCGCTCGCTGTAGTAGGCAGCATCGCAGGTTCTTGGTTGATCGGCCTCGCCTACTTGCTTGCACTTCTTTTCGCAGTCCAGGATATCTCTTCCGTTCAGGCCACCACGTTTGCCATCCCGATTGCTCAACTCTTCTACGATGCAGTCGGGCCCCGATTGTCACAAATGTGCCTGGTTGTGATAATGGTTTCTCAAGTGATGGCTGCAATCACAACGTTTACTGCAAGTTCGAGACTGTTCTATGCGCTCGCAAGAGATAATGCATTCCCATTGAAAAAACAATTCATGACCTTGAACCGATTCCAAGCACCATATTGGGGTGTCTGGAGTAGCGTCTTGATAGGATGCATCCTATCATGCGCTTACATCGGGTCCGCGATTGCAGTCAGTCGACCCAACACCTTACTGTGTTTCTTTGCTCTGATAGTATTCGCGCTTTCACAGTTCAACGCCATCTTATCCTCGGCAGCCATATCGGTGATGTTGAGCTACATGCAACCCATCATTATTCGCGTGTTCTGGCCTGACTCGTTCGTCATTGACAATGATGTATTTGAGCCACACTTGACTTGTTTTCTTGAATTTAGCATCGAGGACTTTGGACCTTTCCGCCTCGGAAAATGGTCGTGGCCAGTGAACTTGGCCAGTCTTCTGGTACGCAACTTCCTCATCTGTCATACATTCCCATTCATTATCCGTACAGTTCACCATTTTCGTCTGTGTTTTATTCATCCTGCCTACGGCATACCCAGTGAACGTCTTCAACATGAACTACGCAATTGTTGCTGTGGGCGGTCTTCTGGTCGTGATCACGATCAACTGGTTTTGGTGGGGAAGGCATAGCTTTAAAGGCCTTGTTAAAACGGCCATGCCTCGACATTGACATGAGAGTCAAAGGCCAAACAGATAAGAAGGCAAATTCTTGGCCTCGTATCACATGGGTAGTGGTACAATCATTATAAATTCTAAATGTTTAACCAATCACATCGCAAGAAAATTTATGTTCATCGCAGTACGTGCAAGAGAAACATGCGTCATACTTTTATTTGGATGCGCACAGAACGAGAGGGCTTATAGCCGATTGCATCCTGTTGTTTGGGCTCGAAGAATGAGTTATTCTCGATGATGGTGCTATAGGGAGGGGTGATGCCGCGGGGGGACAGAGCGTCTTCGGGCACCTTTGGAGGGAGCTGGAAGATTCATCTATGGAGGAGCGCCGCGAGCGCCTCATGAGATACGTCCAGGCTGGTGAAGAGACTATTTCCTCACTCGCAGCCACGAGAATCAAATGGTGCCATGGTGGGGCCCATATGTCATGGAAGACCGTTAACAGCTCGAGCTTTGAGGAGTACGCCAAGAGCAGCTCCCCACATGGTCACGTCCAAAGAAGGCACCAAGTGGTATCTGCAAATGAAGCCAGTGATACAGATACCACGACTCAATGAGAGGCCTTGGATACGACATGTGCAGTCCGGCTTCCCATCTAGAGGACGTCCTATACATCCACCAGCTCTTCACCACATTTAGGATGTCCCAAGCCTAGAAATTACTGCGGAAACGAGTAATGTCCCTAGTCTATTCCGGTGTAGCAAGTCGATGTGGTACAGCTTTGGAAAGACCCTGGGACAACCCTGGGAAGGCAATAAATTTAAACAAGCTATATTTGTTTGATATTTGTCTTATGTAGTCCAATTCAATAGTCCGACGCATTGCATGGTGTTGCAGACCACAAATTAGCAACTGACTATATTATTCTTGCAGATCGCCATGGGTGACTACAAGGCCTCGAAGGAGGCTTTTGTCTCTGGAATGACTGGCTCGACAGTATTTCATGTAAATATGATAAGCGGCGTTGCATTGGTGTGTATCCCTACGTGTCTTCCCACTTCAGCAAGCTGACCATCTTCAGTCCTCGATCGCTCTTCATTCAGCACTGCGTTCGCGTGTTCAAGCATTTGGTTCCGCATATTTCTTGGCAGAGTTTGTAATACTTGCCATGCCTCTGCTATTGTCTATGACTTTATTCGCGGAAGCTCCTGGCGCACTGTCTCTCCTACTACTCGTACCGATGCTTGTTTTGCTCCTTCTCCCCCCTCTTGAAAGAGGCACGCCTTTACCGGCTGAAAGTCGGGACGAACCAACTTCGCCAAATGGAAGAAGTCGAGCAGAGACTCCACCGATGCACTCATCTCAATCCCTCAATCCCTTACCTGCTCTGACCACCTACCGTGCTCATATGATGTTAATGACAATTTTGTGTATACTCGCTGTTGATTTTCCAGTGTTCCCCCGTATCCTAGCAAAGTGTGAGACATATGGTGTTTCTTTGGTGCGTCTAGAACATATCATGTTCTTCAACTTTCACACAATTTGATTCATAGATGGACATCGGCGTTGGCTCGTTTGTATTCTCTCAAGGGGTGGTGTCTGCAATTCCAATCATCAAAGACATATCTTACCTCCAGGCTCCGATCCTTCCTAAACTGAAGACTGTCTCCCGTAAGATGATACCCATCATTGTGTTAGGCATTGTTCGCGTCGTGCTCGTGAAAGGCACTGAATATCCTGTAGGGTCTTGCATAGGTTTCATGTTTCACCCATCGCTTAACAACTACAACTAGGAACATGTAACTGAATACGGCGTGCATTGGAATTTCTTCCTCACGCTTGCGCTTTTGCCTATCACCGAGGTCTTGTTGCATCCTATCATCTTGCGTATCCCCGTCGCTCTGCTGGGTCTTTGGATTGGAGTTTGTAAGTGATAGTCCGGTCGTCATAAGAAACTTGAATAAGATGCCTGTTTAATAGTACATCAATTCGCATTGTCGTCTGGAGGAATGAAGGACTTTCTGCTCAACGCTTCACGGAGCAACGTTATTTTTGCGAACAAAGAGGGCTTGATCTCATTGCTGGGTATAGCTCGTTACTCTTGTAGGATGTGCGTCTTCTAATTCCTCTCCACCAGGTTATGTTTCGATCCACATACTCGGCCTGTCCTTAGGAACTGTCATACTTCCGCCCTCCCCTTCTTTTTTCCGGAAGCAGCAGCACCAATTACTCGACGGGCCATCCTCGCACAAACCTAGCAAACTTGATCCTTCAGCACCCAGACAGAATGCAAAGATTGTCATTGAGCTGTTTTCGTATTCAGTTGTTTGGTGGATGCTTCTGGCTTTCGTGAGGCTTGGATTAGAAGTGTCTAGAAGAATGGTTCGTCCTGTTTGCGTACACGATTTCGTGTGAAAGTCCCATGTGCTGAGATGATTTTTAGGCAAATATTTCATATGTTCTCTGGGTTGCAGCTTACAACACCTCTTTCATCCTTGGCTACATTTTAATCGACATGGTGTTCTTTCCCACCAGAACGTTAAAGATACGAGATCCAACTGATCCCTCAGGCAAACGGCTTCTCATCGAGGAAAAGGGGCCAAAAAACAGCGCACCCGCGCTGTTGGAGTCTATTAACAAGAATGCATTTATCCTGTTCTTGCTGGTTCGTCTTGCTAATATCACCTGCATTTGGCGTCCTGACATCTATACTCAGTCAAATGTGGCCACCGGTTTGATCAATCTCAATATCCAGACTATGTTCGTGGGTGACATGAAAGCAATGTGTGTATTGTGTGCATACTCTATGGGCATGTGCGGTTTTGCATGGCTTTGTAGGAGGAAACGGTTATGGAAGATGTGAGGCTATTTCAAAATATATCAAATAACATACCTTCCCGAACCGCTCTTACAGTTGAACCTCTACCAGTTGATGCTATCGCGAGACGTTTGTTTGGATTTTGCTGCTTGTTTCAGTCTTCAGTTCATTACGTCTCAAACTGAAAGCTTACCGTGATCGTTCGGAGTGCGAACAAGGTGCAGTGGTATGTGAGGCATGTGTTTCTGGTAGTATGAATTCTATCACACGACATGCACGCACCACGGTATCTGCATGTGCATAAGACAGTTCGCTACAGGAGCGGCCCGTCATGACGGCATGGTGAAGAGGGACACGGATGGTGCTGAGTGCAGTGGTGAGACAGGAACGGCCATTGTGCGAGTCTCAGGGCGCCTTTTGATCCCGGCCCGGCCTTTGAAGCGCCCATTAAGCTTTCACTTAAGCTTAAGCGCTACTAGGCCCTGAATGGCACCCCCAAATGTCACAACATCGTAATAAAATATATTGCCTAATTAGGAATTAAAACTATCCGAACATCATCACCTTCGCATCGCCCTTAACGCAGCTGGAACACAGCTGTGGCATCGACTTTATATTGTAGTTATAAGCTGGAAATGATGTTATATTGCAACAAGTAGCTCGCTATAGCAAATATTGTACCGCGTAATATTTTTTTTGGGAGACTTGGCAAGCAAATACCAACAAACAAGATAAAGGCATGTCTCAGAAACTCGACTCATCCCGAAACCAGTACCCTTGATAGCAGAACAATGAGTCTGACAGAAAAAAATATATACTCCACAAAAGTGCTGGAGAGTCGGGGGGATGATCCCATCCCATCATGGCCTTTGACCCTCGGATTGTTATTGGACCGATGCAAGTTGGTTCGCTCTTGAGTGCAGTGTTCTACGGCTGCCTTATTTCGCAAATCTACGTGTATTTTAAACTGTTCCCAACAGATCCTCGAGGCTTTAAAATCGCCGTAAGTAAGTTATAACTGGAAAATCTCATCAATATTGACGTTTACCTACAGGTCACAGCTCTTGGGTACGGTGTGACTTCTCCACCAGCCTTCGCGACTGACATGTGTGTTCTAGAATTTGGCAACTAGGCCACTTCATCTGCTTAATTGTCACGCTTTGGACCATGACAGTGACTGCCTATGGTCAACCATCTATACTCGATACTCTTCCGGTCGGAACAAAAATTCTGCTCTTGCTTAGCAGCTTCACGTGCTCTACTGTGCAGGCAAGTGTTGACCATATTGTCCCCAACATAAGTCATGTATTGTTTTTAGTCGTTTTACACCCATAGACTCTGGAAGCTTTCTAAAATCATCATCCTACCACTTATCTCAGGAATACTTGGTGTAACTGCGCAGGTTGCAGCTTTCATTTTCGTCGTCCGCGCGTTTCATATGGCCAACCTCAAAACATTCGGAGAGGATCAGCACTTCATCATCGCATTCGCAGCCATCTCCCGTTCGGCATCTGACATTTTCACTACCATCAGTATTGCCGCCATCCTGAAGAAGCAAACATTGTACGTTCCGGGCGTTTCGGTGACGGCTAAGATAGCTGACAGGATAATTTCGTGGACACTTGGTAAGAACATTACATTATGGTTTTAATTAAATTGACCTGGCCATAGAAACCTGTTTGGTAGCTAGGTAAGTCTTTCGCACTAGGGCTTTTCGGTTTTGAACGTCTTCGAAGTTTAGCGACGTTTTCAATCGCCGTACTGGTAAGATATACTTACACCTGAGCTTGCTTATATCGCTGACTGAATACTTCAGCTCCTTACTTTACCAAATAGTTGGTTCCATTTTTTTGCGTTTTGTTGTTGTTGTATTCACACCCTTTAGATGCCTGGTTTGGTCTATATCTTATCAATTCCAACGGTATATCGTCACTCGAATCAACGAGGGAAGTAACGCTGATTCTTCAACAGTAATTGCGAATTCGCTACTGGCATGGTAAGACAAATCAAACCCCCATGCCTACAAAATATTGACTCGATCTCGAAGGCTCAATCGCCGGTTCACGTTCGTACGTGATGATTCAGATTTAACATTATGCTCGACTATCGCCTTTGCTGGGTGATCTGTGTCCATACAAGGCCACTAGTCACAAAATTTGTTCTCTGTAACTCCGTCTCGTCGCCCCTCCTTGAGAGGAGAGATGTCGACTCCTAAAATTCCTTGTATTTGCCTTGTATTTCTTTCCCACTTGTGTGTATCACTTGACTTGTATCGCTAGTCGTCCTTGTAGTCAAATTGTGTATCTCGTCGCCTGTACCTGTAGCACCAGTCCCCGTAGCGTTGATGGATCAAGTCTGCTAGATCATTACAAGTAATAAGTAAGTTTATCACCAACTCCCACCCATCGGCACAGGACTGTATGTGGTGGCTTGTTTATAGATAGGCCCATTGGCCCTTCATCCTGCGTATCCATTTTGTGGGGCACTGGGGGTGCGAGCGCCGAGCAGGAGGGTCCTTTGATGCTGTTGGACGGTGAAGAAAGGCCAATGGAGGATGGTTGAGATGAGTACGGCCAGATATGTGCCCTGGATTTAACCGTCAGGGGCTTAACAGAAGAACGGTAAACACTTCAGAGGGATGTAGCTTGAAGCTTGAAGGTTCGCAGTAGTATTCACATAGTGCAATGTAAGTAGTACCAGCAAAAACGGTGGGTAACTGCAACATTTGTATGGTGTGCAGTAGTCAAAGAGAGTTCTCCTGAGCCTCAGAATCACGTGGTGACATCCGGGATTCACATAGCCGGAGTTTCAGGCTCAATCGAACTCTCAAGTTCACAACAGATAAATCTCACCTCGAAGAGCACCAACTTTACAACGCTTTTGTCTCTACAATTATGAGCTACGACCTTGGAAAAGCTGTCGGCTTCAAGTCCAAAGATCAACCAGTGCGTTTCAGTGTTACAGTAGTACGAGTTCGAATTTGTACGGCTTACTCATATGTGCTAGGTTTCATGGACTCGTAAAGACATCATCACGTATGCTCTTGGGGTAGGCGCGAAACATGACGACTTGTCTTTGGTATATGGTAAGTAAATTTATATCCTTGTTCGCTTCATACATATTAACCCAACTTCGTAGAGCTTGGTAGTGTCACGGTTGTTCTGACATGCTTACGTTCGGTCATTGATGTGTTCTGCAGACAAGTCGTGGGGACCACTACCGACATACCCTGTAGTTCTTGGACTGAAAGGTGGGATCAATCAGACATCCAAGTAGTGGAATGAAGGCGTTAATGTCGATAGGCGATGACCAGGATGTCACCTTGTTCGCAGCCAAAACGGGCGGTGAACCTGTTCCGGGTCTTCCGAAGCTGAACTCCAAGAGGGTGGTAAGTGGCTTGCAAATTGTTTTATTCAATCCGTGTTCACAAATCTGCAGGTCCATGCAACCCAAAGTATTGAAATCCTGAAAGACCTTCCGGTGGCTAGCGGATCCGGCTGGAAGCTCTCTCGAAGAGTAGTTGGTGTACATGAGAATAGTGCGTTCATGAAATCCACAAGCACTTCTTCTAGCTAACAATATTCCAGAGTCTGGAATCATCATAGACAATGAAGCCATACTGCTCGACCCTCATAATGTTCCTTATGCGAAGCTTTACGTGAGGCGCTCAACCAAGTTGAATATCCACTATGCTTACCCCAGTTATAGAGCTCAGCCTTTTACCTTGGTTCAAAGGCCAACGGAGACAAGTTCTCTAAAGCTGTTGCAGCCCCACCTCAGGCGAAGCCTGTCCCTAAGGACCGAAAACCGGATTGGGTTGTTCGGGATAAGACAACACCAGAGCAAGCCCTGATTTACAGACTGAGCGGCGATTACAACCCTCTGCACATCGGTAGGCTCTTTGCATATGTAATGGTCTTTCTCGGACTGAGCTGCCTATCAGACCCGGAACTTGGCAAAGCGATGGGCTTTGGTGGTGTGATTTTGCACGGGCTGTCAAGTTATGGGTTCGCTGCAAGAGGTTTGATTCAAGTGATAGCTAATGGGAATTCTCGTGCCCTGACGGTCTTTGGCGCGAGGTTTACGTCCCCTGTAAAGCCTGGTGATGAGCTAGAGACGTCAGCATGGGAAGTTGGTCCTGGTCCGAACGGTACCTCGGAAATTACGTTCATAACCAAGAACCTGACATCTGGCAAAGTGAGATACTTATCGTTTTGTTTCTTGTCTTGTTCTGAACAGTTGGGGCAGGTCGCATTGGGCAATGGTGTCGCCTTCATCAAAAAGGCTGAGAAGAGCAAGTTGTAGTCAAGAGTTGCTTTTCGTTATGTTGGGGATATGCATTTGTATTCCCAACGAATCATACTCGTGTAAATTCTTATCAATTTGTATTTGTACATGTAAGCTTATATATCTTCACAACTCATCTGCAACATTGCCGTTGCTGTCGTGTCGTTGTTGTGCCCAATCCTACAACGACCTAACGACTCCTAGAGAGATTCCTTCTCAAGCTTCGTCTGCAACACTCTTCCCCGATCTAAAATGGCATCAGCTTCGAGATAACAGCCCTTCAGCCATCGAGTCGTCTCGTTATATGCATCCGCACCGGAGCCATCGTCAGTGAATGAAGTACGTGCGTGTAAAACCCGCCGATTGTCGAATAGGACAGCATCGCCTTCGCGCAGGGTATAATCTAGGATGTTCGCAGGATCATCAAGCAGAGCAGCATAGCGTCCCAGGGCGCCGTAAAATGCGGGAGGAGTCGAATCTAACAGCAGAGGAGCTTGGAAAGGCGGGGAATAATTGATGTGCTTTATTTTAGGCACGCTGGGTGTAGAAATACCGGTGGTGGACAAGCCAGAGCCTGTTGCTGGGGGCAAGGAAGCGAGTTCGATGGTGGGGTGCTCGTGATGAAGGTGATGTCCATCATTGACGTAATGGAATGGGACCGGTGTGGTAGCCAGGATATCAAAGTCTACTGGATGGGTCTTACGCAACGTCTCCGCAGCGTGGAGACCGTCAACAAAACGCGAAGTACCGCCTACCACCCGATTGCGAAGACAGTGGAGAATCTGATATCGAGGTGGGTGTTCGAAGTATCTGTCGGATCATCAGAGCCTCATCGAGACAGTATACCGAAACCACACACAGGAGATCCATATGCATACCTAAGTCAAGATTAGTATAGGCGATATTTTTGCTGTGACGGATGTTCTTGACATCCCACAGCTCCCCGTAGAAGGTTTCGCGCAGTTCGCCAAACATATTGGCAAGTTTGCGGAGCTCGCATGTCTTGTTTGTGTGCTCGGTGTTCGGGACACCTGTGAGGAAGAGTAGTCCATAGCGAGTAAGCTGTGTGATGGCAGAGAGAAGCTGGGAAGGCTTGTTTATAGCTTCGTAGGACATATAGAGGTCAGGTACTTGGGAGATGGTAGATACATCCCAAGATATGGGTTGTACATCTTTGTGAAAAGACGACAGTCGCGGAGATGATGAGTAGCGTTCCAAGAAAGAATGCTCGTAGAACGATTTGTGATTATCTACCCACTCGACGTGTATGCCACTGTCCTGGAAAGTTACGCCATGAGGAATGGGACGAATATCAGCGGGAATATCCGATGTCCTACGAAGCTTCTGAGATGTAGACGGATGCACGCAGGCTGCGCATTGGCAGGCGTCTCGCAGCCATCTATGAGGAAAAGAAGCGCCGAGAGGAGGAACAATCAGCTGGGAATCAGTTGTCTGAACTCTAGCTTCAGTATATGTACGACGGAAGGAAGGAATAATCTGTCTGGAGAAGCCTGGAGCCAAGAACTGATGCGCACGTAAACCGCACTGATATCCCAAGTTCATCTTGGTGTTATGGCCCTGCAATGGGACATGAAAATTCCCATCACCGTCTGCAAAGCTGTGCTTATTTTTTCCACGGCTCGAATCTCGAATCTCACCAGTACGCCGACTGCCGCACAGTGCACCGTCATGCTGGAAAGTTGAAGCACTGGACTCTTTGTCGGAGTGCGCATGTCGGCTTGCAGAGGAACGGGCCGAGCTGATTATTGCTCACCATCTGCTAACTGGGGATGTCAACTTGAACAACTTGCGTCACAGTCTAACCGGATGGCATTCAGAATTGTAATTAACTGACCCATCTCTTGAGCCATCATATGAGGCAAAGCAAAATCAATTCAAAGCAGTGTCACGGTTGGGGCGTAGCCGCGTAGGCGCCGCTACGATATGATAAACCGTTCAATAACGTGGGATTGTTTGGATCTAAAGCCTTTGCCAAACAACCACCTTCCTCTTTCGGACACATTATAAACTTTTGGTCCAACTAACTTAGCTCAGTCCACTTCAACATAGTAACCATTTCCTTTCCGCTGCGAAGATAGATCCCCTCGGATTTGCCTTATTTCTAGTTGTCTCATTAGGGCATTTTCTTTTATACCATTGCTTTTGAGGTGTCACCACACTGCAGCGGCAATATTCCATCCAATTGTTTCTAGTCTGACGTTGACCAGATACCCGCGTCACAGTCACCGATGTTTAGCCCATCTGGCTCCGAGAACTCCTTTGTCTTTCTTGAAGGAAGTCCGAAGCCAACCCCGTCTCCATCTTATGCACAGCCGGATCCACTTCTAGACAAGGTCTGAGACTTTGAGCCCAGTGTAAGATTAATGTCCAATGCTAACCGTGGTGTCAGATCCATCCCTCTTTATTGCCTTCATACATACCTGGCTCGACTCGTACATACGCACATGATTGGTCTCGGACTGGAACCGGAGGAGAAATAAAGCCCAACGGGCGGCACTTTGTTGATGCCTATGGGCGCATCTGCAGTTTACGTGGCGTCAACGTGTCTGGCTGCAGCAAAGCGTAGGCTTTGACCTCACCTACGTAAAACATAATGCTGAACGCTTTGCAGTCCAATGAACCATGACCATGGTACATTTCCTGGCGACCACGAAGTCGTTACGTTTGTTGGCCGTCCATTTCCACTGGAGGAAGCACCCGAGCACTTTTCCCGTCTTAGAAGATGGGGCTTGACCTTCAGTACGTCTTCACGTAGTCTAACATTCTTTCGGCTTGGTAACATTTTGCTAGTTCGCTTTCTCGTGACTTGGGAAGCTGTCGAACATGCAGGACTGTACGCATTAGAATCATCTCTCTATCATATCACTAATGCAATCCTTATAGTGGCATGTACGACAAGGAGTATCTGACATACGTTCGCAAGCTTCTCTTACTGTTACCCTCATTCGGACTTAGTGCATTCGTCGTCGTTCATCAAGATGTCTGGTCCAGGTACTCGGGTGGCTCTGGCGCACCAGCATGGACTCTTGATGCCGTTGGGTTTGACCTACATGCACTCGAAGAGTCTGGGGCTGCATGGCTGCTAGGAGTCAAAGGTGGCGGTCACGTTGAAGCGGAACGTGGTATTTGGCCCTGCGGATACCAAAAGTTGGCCGCCGCGACCATGGCGTACGTTCAGTTTAGTCTATTACCGCCATCATGTTGACATGGGATTTTATCCGTTCAGCACCTGCTTCTGGGCTGGTGATACCTTCGCACCCAAGTTGAAGATTGTCATGCCTGATGGCCAGACAAAGCCAGTTCAGCAATACCTCCAGGATGCATTCTTGGATATGTACGCTACAGTCGTACAGGCTCTGGATGGTTTGGATGGAGTCATTGGATTTGAGGCAAGCCTGTGTAATATTTGACTTTTATAGTGCTAATCTGAAACAGGTTATGAACGAGCCCCATAGAGGATACATAGAATTGCCTTCGTTACACAAGTTCGACTATAATACAGATCTGCATCTTTCGCATGTCCGTGCGTGCGCTTGACTTATATCCGGTGTTTGAGATACTAATGACAGGTCACGTCCAGCATCCGCTTTCGAATCTTTTATGCTTGGCTGCGGATACCCCACTCTCGTTTCCCACTGGACACGCTCATTCCCTTTGCCTACTCGTCTCACTTCTCGGAGTGTTCTGAATTCCGCCAGTCGGAAGGCTTGGCGCCCCGATGGTCCAACGCAAGGCATGTGTGTATGGGAGATGCACGGCGTCTGGGGGTGGGACAACAGCAAGAACGAGGGTGTCGTTCTGCGCGAAAATTATTTCGTCAAGGACCCTATGACTGGTCGTAAGGTATGTGTATGCGACGGATCATGAAGTGGATGCTCACACACTTCAAGGTTGATTGGTACACCGATTTCTATTACCCATTCCTTAAACGGTGGACAGATTGCGCCCGGAAGGCGATGTCGAACGATAAAATGTTTTTTGTAGAGCCAATCCCCAACGAGGCATGTTGTACGACAAATCTCTTATATTTCCTGACAACTTTTGCAGTTTTGTCCAACATCGTGGACAGCAGAACACCAACTTCCCAACATGGTGTTTACACCACATTGGTTTGTGAACTATGGTCCCAAAAGCATATTACTTATTTTTGCTATAGGTATGATCTTAATGCGCTATTCAATAAGGCTTTTGGAGATTTCACGGTGAACGTGCAAGGCTTATCCAGGGTATGATCATTCGTAATTAGGACATGGGTTCTGGACGCTTATATCGTTTTCCAGGGAATGTTCCTGCTGAAAGCTTTGTATTGGGGTCAACAAGGCGCAAGAGAAAACTACTCACTCCAAATCCAGAATATCGTGGATCATGGCTATAAAGTACTCGGTGGGAAGCCTATTCTGATCGGAGAGTGCGGTATACCCATGGACATGAAGTAAGTCTGACGATGCCATTAGAATCTATACCTAACGACGCACGGTCTCAGTCACAAGGAGGCATTTGAGAGTGACGATTGGAAATGGCAGGAAAGGATGATGGACGCCATGATGACAGGTCTTGAGAGATCTCTGGTTGGATTTACGTGTGTACTGTGCTTTCTGCATGACCAATTATTGATATTCCTTCAGGCTATGGAACTACAACCCCGACAATAATGACATTCAAGGCGATGACTGGAACGGGGAAAATTTCTCTTGGTTCAGTCGGAGGCGTGGATTACCCCGATCACTTCTCGATTTGGACCAATTCTCATTCACGCTAGATAACGGTGGCCGCATCTTGCCGTCTGTCGTCCGACCATACGCAGCAAAGACTGCTGGCATACCCACCCGGTTCGAGTACGAATTGAACACAGGGACGTTTGTCTTTGAGTGGAGGTCGCCCGAGTCCAAGGACAATCTCGTTCTTACTGCTAGAGAGACTGAAATTTTCGTACCGTCCCTCATCACCTATGGGAGGAAGCTAGTGGTCTCGGGCCTCAGCGTCGACGATAAGTATACTTATGATGAAACCCGACAGACTCTTTTCATCGTTCCTCGAGATGGTAGTTCGGGTAGGATGCACAAGATAACCGTTTCTGTGGACCCACCGCTTCGCCCTCAATTCAGTGTCAATACATTTTGGGGTGACTTTGGAGAAGCTATCTTATCTGGACTAGTGATATTTGTGATTCTGTTTGTGGTCATCAAGTACTACTTCTATATATGATGCTGGGGTCACTTGGAAAATTCCACATCCTGATTTGTCTTAATTTTATTGTCATATCCGTCAATTACGAACAGTTGTCGTCCGGTTCATTGGTATTTTTTAATAGGAAATCCTCTTTAATTGATTCAGACTACGGACATCATGAACAACTTTTCTCTGATGCGCGAGTCAAGGAAGAGCCCCCGTTGTCTTCGTTCGAGACGGATCTAGATGCACGTTTTGTTTGTGCTGAACACTGAGGCACGATAACGGGCATTAGACGTGGGCTATCTGCATTGTGCACCCACCTGTATTTCAATTATCAACCTAGTCAGTAGGTGCACGGTGGTCACTGGTGTAAAATCAACGCAGGCTATATTTGGCACCCGGTGTCGATTGGACCTTGGGAGATTGGGGTCAGGAATTGCGCGACCATGTGTGACAATCGTGATAAGTCTTGATCAGTTGCGCATTGACGTGGGTGGGAGGCAATGTTGTGATAGAGATATAAGGAGCATCCTTCAATCCCACTATCTCTATTCTGGTTAAGAACGAGCGAGGTACCCTGAGTCTTGCGGAGTACATCACGCGAGATGAAGAGATGGATGTTCTGGAGCACGCAAAGGAGGGGAAAATGATCACCTGGTATGTATGTCATTTTTCAAACAGAAGAGAGCTAATGAGCTGGGAAGGGTACTGGCACCACGGGAGAACCCCACGACACTTGATTTCATGTGTGCTTGTAGGACGTAAGTGACTCGAGTACCCACGACGCACGAGCAGATTTCTAACATGCTGTACGGGGCCAGATACAAGCGAGCAAGCCTGGTTGCTTATCCTCCTTCCTCTCCTTCTGGGCCCAACTCTGTGCACGAAACAACCTCATACGGCGTCGCCGCGGTCTTCACCCCACCCTCAAAACGCGGGCGCGGTTATGCAAGGCACATGATGTGTCTTCTGCATTGGGTGACTGCCTCGCGCGATAATCTTCCTGAATTCCCAGAGGCGTGGGGCACACCACCGGAAGAGGTAGCAGATGCTGGCGGGGGGCTATTCTCGGTGCTATGGAGTGATGTTGGCGAGGAATTTTACCGCTCAGCGGGCCCTGAGGGGAAGGGAGGCGGATGGGAGAAACGGGGACCGGTATCGACTGTATGGGAAGTAGGTACGGAGGAGGGGGATGACGAGGGATGGAAGTGGCTGACGCAGGAACAGCTGAAGGGTCTTTGGGACCATGATGCTGGGTTGATTAGGAAGGAGCTAGAGAACATGCTGGTGAAGAACGAATCGTACGAAGTGGGGCGCCCAACAGCACTCGTGACATGCTTGCCAACAAATGGTGTCGCAGCATTCCAAATCCCTCGGGCGACGTACGGCTCGAACTTTTCTATGGCAGGTGGATTCTGGGGTGTACAGTCCTTGAGTAACCCAGACACATATGCAAGCTGGAGCGTTGAAATGCAGCCTCCCCCACCAACATTAATCGTCACGCGGCTCCGGGCCAGCAAAGACATGTTTCCTGGATTGATCGCAAAGATCAAGCAGGCAGCTAGACGAAGCGGAATTCGGAAAGTGGAGGTGTGGAATTTGCAAGCAGGATTGAGGGACATTGCGGAGAAGACAGGTGGACAGACCTTCATACGAAGCGAACATTTGCCACAGATTGTGTGGTATGGACCTGGGACGACAAAGAACGTGGAGTGGGTGCATAACGAAAAGTGAGTGCTCCTGCTACAAAAAATGGCGCGCATATGTGCTTAACAATTTTCAATAGGTTCTGCTGGTGTTGATGCGGTATAATTGCCATAGGTTCATGCGCTGTTGCTTAAGGTTCTCATAGACTGGTATTTTGAGTCCTGATATCGCCGCACCGCCCAGACCTCCGGTGAATAGCGTAGGTAACACGGTGGCATACCCAGTTCGATACTAGTCCGTGTTCTGCAGAACTAACCGGTGAAGCGTCTGATGAGCAGTGCTGCAATGCATTCGAAGTCCAATGTTGATCGTACCATACAGCTTTCAGTTTGTGTCACCGAATTTCAATGGTGTCCTACATAGGCCACATCGCGATGTATGCTCTATCGCCAAACTTGAATTGTCAGCCTGAGGTCGAACGTCGAGATGCACTTCAGTGCTTTAAATCGGATGGATCCGTATTACGTAAGAAGACATGTTGTCTTTTCACCGATACCCCTCCAGCTCAGATCCGGAGTTGTTACCAAACTTCAAGACAATGACACGGTTTCTCTTCGAAATCACCAGCACGAATTGGATGTGCAAATTATGCTAGACCGTTGCGCTGACGAGCTGGACTATCGAAACGCTCAGCTTCATACGAAACGAACATCTGAACAGATTGTATGATGGACCTGGGACGATGGAAGATCGTGGAATGGGTGTATAACGAAAAGTAAGTGATCATGCCAACATAAACATCGAAGGTACGACGATCTACAGCGTCATACATATTTTCACAATTTGAGCTTGGCAATCTGCTCTCGTTTCATGGAGAACAAAGATATCGAGGAGGCCATTCCTCTCTGCCAAGAACCATTGACGGCTTTGCCTCCGCTGTACCCGAATATATATCACAGTTATGTTCGGCTGGAGGATGCTCATCTTTCTCATTACCACATTCTACAATACCCTGTCAATTTGTCGCTTGCAATGGAAAACTTCAGACTGGCGTCAAGATACCCTACTCAAGATTTTCCGAGATGCATTGAAACAGCCTTGCACTGGGTTGCTGCAGCTGAGGGTTATCGACACGAATCTGCCCTGGAAGAATAAATGGGGAGAAAATCGAATCATTGGCTAATTATGAGTAACTCGACGGAAAGTTGGGAGCTACCGTTTCTAAAGATCTATCATATTTTTATGCAGGACTACAACAATCCGGAGCTTCAGAGGTAAGCTCGCTCCAAAGCCAAAGCCGGCTGCGCAGGCACATCAGCCTGAGGGGAGCTATAGACAGGCAACGTCTTTCTAAATTCCTCCCAGCACTTATCCGATATGATGGGTGACGATACGTATGGCTCAACCTCCATCACAGCAAGCAACTCGTCCAGGCGAGGTAAAGCTGCCGACAAAGCAGCATCCTCCATATGCACGATGGCCTTCCGCGTAAACATGCCGCGTTCTACATACCACGCGGCATCTGTCTTGATCGCGTTGATGAGATACAGATCGACGAGATATTGGGGAACCCCTTGGTCGACGGCGGCATCATAGGCCATGCGGTATCCCATAGACTCTACCATCAGCTGGCAGCGCGGCTGCACATATTGCATAAACGCTTGCATGAAATCGGATGAGGAAACCGTCTCGGTTGCCTCGTCGAATAACGAGATTTCGTGCAATGCAAGGGGCCCGTCTGGGTGCGTCGAGAGAGGCAACTTGTAGGTTTGCGCCAGTGTATCCGTCACGAGTCCTATAATTCATCTGTAAGTGTTTGGTTGCGCAGACGTTGATGTACTGTACTGACGCATAGAAAGTCCTGGAATCTTTGATCAGTATGACGTCACCGGAAAAGGCTAAAAGCCACCTACCTAAAATGTCACCTTCAGCGATACTAACTCCCCTTATCTCACTCTGTGAAACAGATTAATTCTTGCTCTCACATGACTGTCCGAGAGAAGGGCGTACGTAAAGGTTGGACAGCCGATTATATTCGAAGAGGCCTTGGGCTCCGAGTCTTTCAGACAGTGCGTAATTTGCAACTTGTCCATGTTGAATCATGACTGCTTTACAACAAGCCGCGATGCCATGCCGCACACGAACATCAAGATCCTTGTCCATGAACCGCTCGATGCCCCATTTGTAAAGCGCTCCTAGAACGGACGCCTGAGCGATGGCATGTAGTAAAGGGAGCTGTTGCGTCCGGTATGAAATTATGGGTGAAGGATTTCCATACACGCTGGTGACATGACGACGCTGAAAGTAACGTGCAGCGATGTACGATGCCACCTGGAGATTAGGTATTGCAATTGAGCCAATCGCTAGCGACCCAACCGCAACGCGCCATATAGACGACATGAAGTCACGATGGATTGTGTTGGACTTGGCGAGGTCCCCGAGCAGGGCCGAAGGCGGTAAGCGGACGTGATTGAAGCTTGTGAGTGCATGGTTGACGGGGGACGAGCCTCCTCTAGGTGGTAGCAACCTAGTAGTCATGGAAAAATCAGTTTGAAATCGATGGAACGAATTTAAAGAAGCACTCGCATTGAAGTCACCCCGTTGCACATATCATATCCGTCGTTCAGATTCACAAGAAACGGTCGAGGTCCACGGCGTTCGCCATCCACGTACAGTTGTGCGAAAACAATGGCGACACAAGGAAGACCTATCACTGGCACGGTTGGTGGCATGAACCTGCGCTACAATGATTAGCAGCTCTCGAGGATATAGTGATCTCGTACTTGGCATCCGAGGGCAACGGCGTATGAAGATCGAATTCACCTGTTGGGAGAAGTGTCGCTGATGTCTTCATTCGGAAGATATCTAGGCCTCTCCCCAGCTCGGTAAGGCAGAATTGGCCACTGCAAAAAGATCATGTAGTCTTTCCACAAAATATACATCAAGGTTGGCTCACCTGACATTCCATCGAAGAATGTCCTCGACGAGGGAGACCAAGTCAGGTCTAGTAGTCGCAGCATATTTGGCAAGCGTTCCTGCAACCAGATTGTACTGGATGGTCAGCAGCGTGGAGGCGGCCCCATCTAGGACCATGATTGGGTCGGTGTGCATGTCCCAAAATTTTTGCGTTAGATGCAAAATATCATGAAGAGTGATGCCTGATATAACGTCAAGACGTGTCCCGTGAACAGAAAAGGTTGATATGCACCGAGTGTTAAACCAATGGCTTTGGCCCTCTCGTATGAAAGATCCACTCGAGCCTCGCGGCTGAGGACCTCTGAGCGTTTTTTGAATAGATCTGATTGACAAAGCTGCGACGTGGGTGTCATGATGCAATGAGTATGTTAATTTAGTTTCTCTGACTCTCGTATGTTATATATGATACCCACGTACCTTTAGAAAAAATGCCTGAAGGACGTGGCAATGCTCGGGATATGCACGGGTACGGGTAACTCATCGAGTCATGCGGATTACGGGTACGGGTACTACTTGGGTACGGGCATGGATCGGAATTCTGAGACCCATTCCCGTGGCTTCCTAACTTGGTAAGTAAATGTATTTGGCGTCACGTAGTTGTGCGAAGTGCCACTGATACTTCATAGGCATCTCATCTAACTTAACTTTGTTGTGTGCCCGACCTAATGAATGGTACGGGTTGTCGCCGCGTGTGGGCATACCCTCCAATACCCGGTGGTATCTGTAAATTCTATCAGAAGACTAATGTATCGATGAGTGTATTACGGCCTTTATCTGAGTGCACGATGCTCTGTTACCACTCCGCCACCATTCGGATGCCCAGTCGTGGCGAAAACTAGGTACCAACAGTGTAACGTAAGAAAGAACCTTGTCGCAGGCCTTGTAGCACATCCAACTCAGATATATAAACGATTTTAATTGACTGAGACCTTGCAGGCAAACATAAGCATATTATAGCTACACTGTGGATAGTGATTCCAATCAAAATCATTGGAAAAAGTACTGATGCTGAAATTTTCATTGGAACTTCTACTGAAACGGCAGGTAGTTAATTTCATTGGAGTGCTGAATCCAATTCAGCACCAAATTTCAGCACCATTTTCCAATGAATCGAATTCAGCACCACTTTCAGCGCTATTTTCCAATGAATCCAATTCTCCAGCGTAGTCTGGCTTAGGAAGAGTCGGAGCTGGTCCGAGTGTTAGCTTGGGAGAGACACAAGCAGGTGGAGCCGCTGGGAGGGCGGGAAACTTGCTTGTGAATTTGGTCATGCGCTGACTCTTGTGCGGCACAAATCAAGATAAGCATCTTTATACATTCTAACAATTATGATAACACTGGAATATGCTCAGGCTGCAGTAACAGTCTGCCGAGATAAATAAGAGAGTGTGCTGGGTGGGGGCAAGGAAGAGGAAATAACGAACGACAAATTTGAAGAACGAATGTCGTAGGTAGTAAGTCGAAAAATGTAGGAGAAGGGTGGTATATATTAGGAGTTGTAGCTATACCTGCTAAAGATACCATGGCTTAGTGGTAGTGATGCTATGTACGATGGTTTAGGTCATCCGTTCAATCCCTGCCTTTGGTGAATTCTCAATGGGTAATAAGTGACACAGTATGTCATGTCACTAGTGACATAATGTCACCGTCGTCAGCACAATTTATTTTTGTCATTCTTGAGCAGAATTTCAGCACATTATTTCAGAGTAAAAATTCAGCGCAATATCGCTGAAATTTCAGAGTAAAAATCGGAACTTTCAGCACCTCGATTTCAGCACCTTGTACTGTGAATTTCATTACATTATCAACTGATTTTACCTAATGAATTTCATTGGATTTACTACCCACAGTGGCTATGTACATGTTGAACATACTAATAGCTATAATGCTCTGTGCCTCACAACTGATAGGCCGCCTGTACACATCATTTTAATTTTAAACGATGCGTACAGCCCGCCGGGAGTTAAAGCGAATCGAAGTGGAAATTTGAGACACTTCGGTAGACCTCGCAAGTTCATCTAAAAGAGACCTCCTGCTCGAAGCGAGTTGAAAAGTTGTCTGAGACAATGCAAATATGGTATAGTCAGGGCAGGTAGCTCGTAATCGTATTATACTGTTTTAAGTGCTTGAGTAATTGCTGCTGAAGTGTTTTAATGACATATTACGAGGCGGAATTAGTGTTGCCGAAGTCCGGTTCGGTCCGGTTCTTGGGGCAAATTTTCCGAACGCCGAACCGAACCATAGGTTCGGTTCAGCCATTTGGTCGAACCCTGGACCGAACGTCACTGAACGCGTTCGGGAGGTCCGGTTCGCGTTCGAACCAGGTTCGACTAAGCTTGGACCATCTGTTTGGTTGTATAGGCTTGAGACTATGAATTTTCATGTAATTTGAGTCGGACAGATAACGAAAAGACTCTATAACGCAAGGAGAACTCCTTTGTACAAAGATTGAATTCAAGTTTCTAAAATAAATACATTTTATTTGCCTGGTGCGCATAGTTCCCTCGTAAAACATATCTCAAACGGAATAGCATGTATGTTTGCAGTGTCTGAGAATGCAAGCATGTCAATCTTCGCTGCAGGATTCTCCGAAAGGTGGAAAGCACAGAATAAGAGTCATGTTAATGAAGACAGACCGATTCACGACATGTTGACCGGGAGTCCAAGCCCACAGAATAAGAGCCGTGTTGATGAAGACAGACTGATTCGTGACATGTTGACCGGGAGTTCAAGCCCACAGAATAAGAGCCGTGTTGATGAAGACAGACTGATTCGTGACATGTTGACCGGGAGTCCAAGCCCACAGAATAAGAGCCGTGTTGATGAAGAGTGCCCGACAAGGAACATATCAGTCCCCCATCCAGAGTCGAGTCTACATGCGCAACGTACCAAATATCCATTATAGAGTGCATGCTTACACTGACTTATACTTATACAGACATGGATTGAACACCTACGCGAATTAATCGGACCTGCCAGTGTGCGAGTCACGGGTTGCAGTCTTCGTCGCACTTGCAGGAATGAGGTAGTTGTTCCAGATGATGTCCTTCAATGTCCTTCGTCACGCGATGTGCAAAGCCTGTAGTGAAAGGTGGTCGTCCACTATCGCATCATCACAACTGAAATAAGACGTACCTCCAATAGTGACAGGTCTCTACCTGAGACTCTCGAGGATGAACATGGTAACTTGCGGCAGCATTTCCTGATCAGCAAATGTCGGCACTGATCAAGAGTTATTTGAGTCAGTTGATGCACAAAGAAAAGGCATAACCTACACCGCGTACGCCCCACGACATGATCGAGTTCCTCTTGTACGCGAGCCTGCGCATCTGTGTGAGATTGCGAACACAGTCTACAACAGTTGTCAACTTAAGACACGATGCAATGTAAGAGCTCACCGTTTCAGAACCGGCGCCAAACATTGTTCCTAACCATTTGTGTTCGCACCGTGTCCAACTGCCCGTTATAGAGAGCATGTTCTTCTTTGTGCCATGCCTTCAGCTGACTCAGGTAGCCGAGGACGAATAACTTTCTTGCATGGGAGGTGTGCTGAGGTGTGGTGCTTCGACACAGCGGAGATCTGACTCTGGCAAGCAAGAATGTGACGGTGCAGTCCTGTGTCACAGCGCGTCACCGTGACGACCACGGCAGGCGCAACAAGACCGCGTCAATTTCACCCGATGGCCCAAACCTGTGGTTCCAGACACATGCCTTTGCATATATGACACGTAGTAAATACTTACATATTCTTAAAAAAGTGTAAAGCCGACAAAAATTGAGAGGTTCGAACCCGTTCGAACCTATTCACTACCAGCCTGAACCCCGAACTTCTAGAAAGGTTCGGTTCTGAGTCTTGGCCGAACCTTGGACCGGACCATGCGTCCGGTTCGGAAAGGTTCAGGTTCGAACCGAGGTTCGGAACCGGACTGCGGCAGCACTAGGCGGAATGGTGAAAATGGTGGGAATTGAAACAAAAACTATGGATTGTGATACAAATATTATATTTCGGAGACCAAGTCAAAATCAGATAGTGTGACGACAGACCCCTGTTGCGACCTCCCACAAATAATTAAGTGATCCATCCAGCTATTCAAACTCATCTTCTCGTCCTCGCTGAGAGAATTCAAGTACAAACTAATGGCATCAAATTTACTCTCATTCCCGTCTGCAGAAAACTTGTGCTTCGTGAATGTCAGTTGGCCCTGTTCCAACAACGCGCACTCTGACATTGTGCATGCGAGGGAATATGCGTGACGTAGCGCCTCGCGGGGAGATTCGTGATTGTCGAGGAGTACGTCGAGTCCATGATTCATTAGCCAAATGAGTTTGAGGAGAAGGAAAAAAATAAACTTGTTTTGACATTTTTGATGAATGATGAGTGTCCCGTCCTGAGGAGTAGTTAGATTATGATTTTCGGAAAGAAAAAAAATGTACTTCGGAAAATGAATGATCATGCATGTAGGCGTATGGAGTGTCTCGAACGAGACGACGTACTCGATCAGTGCGAAATTGATCTGGTGGGATATCATAACCGTGAGGGGGGAGAAGGTCATATGCCATCACAACGTTCTGTCGTGCAAGTGTCATCATTGCCGAGCGCACAACTGTTACGCCTCGCCAAATTGCTGACACGTCCTTTGGGACAGATGGCCACCGAGTCCACCTGTACCTGTAGGTTTGATGTATCACTTCTTACAATTGTAGATGAAATGTGATACAATAATTACTGAAGTCCATAGATACCTATCATTGTAGGGCTGATATATCAATGGAGGATCCTGTCAGGACACTCCCATAATAATCTCACACCCCTAATTTTCGCATTTTTGACCACTTACTGTGGGAATTTCCCCACAACACTTAAAAATAGATTGCTTCTCCACATTTTCGCATTTTTAGCCACCCCACTACACAGGTTCGTGGCATGCTGATGCATCAAACAGGGTAACTGTAGCGCACCCGTGATGCATCATTGCTGCAATTATACTACCCTTTCTCCTCACTAATGCATCAGCTCCCTCCCGTGCTGATGCATCAGCCCTCCCGCCAAGCTCCCTCCCACTGTGATGCATCAGCTCTTTTCCGCTGTGATGCATCAGCTCCCTCCCGTGCTGATGCATCAGCTCCCTCCCGTGCCGATGCATCAGCCCTCCCGCCGATGCATCATGATGCATCAGCCCTCCCGCCGATGCATCATGATGCATCAGTCCTCCCGCTGATGCATCATGATGCATCAGCACGGGAGGGAGTTGATGCATCATGATGCATAGTAGTGCTCCGCTTGCCCATTTTGCTAATGCTTCTTGCCCGCCTGTTCGCTCGCTTGTTCTCGCCCCTCCGTTGGCCCGCTTGTTCTTGCCTCCCGTTGGCCCTCCCACATTCGCATACACCTACTACTCGTTCGAATGAGACAGCCAATGCTAGCACAAATTTATATTGGATCTTGCTACGTATGCATGTACTATGGGTACTAATCAATCAATGTCCATGTCTTGCTGAGTGACGAGTGAGTGGTTGAATATGTCCGCCAGTGCCAAGGTGTCAGTCCAACTAGTCCTGAAGGACTCAGCGAGCCTTCGACATAACGAAGCTTGACGTTTGGCATATGCTATCAGTCCCTCGCGCTCATCATCATCATCCACGTCGTGTAAGGCATCTTCTAGCCCTCGCTCGTCCCAGCATTGCGCATCCCATTCGAAAAATTGTAGGATCCTCCGCATCTCTTCCTTCAGCAGCTCCACCTCTTCAGCCCAGCGCATCGCCCGTGCCCTGGCTTTGCACCATTTGATTCGCATATCTAATTAACCGCGAACCTTAGGCTTGAAGCTTCCAAAACAAAAAAAAAGTACTCGCCTTCCAAAGCATTGTCCTTGTCCATCTCGTCAGGTGCAGCTCCTCGCATATTCCAGATCCAAGATAGTTTTCTTGTCCCCTCTGATTCCCCCCATAATAGATCTGTCATCGAGCGGATATCCGCTCGGTTTAGTGGCCGCAGTGAGGAGTGCCACCCAATCTGATTCAGCAGTGGTGCAAGAACCACGAGAGCCTTATGGGCACGCTCATACGTGCTGGCGGCAGCCTCAAGCCTTGCTTCAACAGCTTTGAGTGTATTCCGTGCCCTCGTATTCGCACCTTGTCCACGAAGGTTGCGATCTTTATACTTGAGGATTGCAGTCTGAGCACGCAAGTTTGAACGTAGGGAACGGAGTGCATCGTGAGCTTGCGCATACTGGAGCTTCCATTCGATGGTTTGGAGGCGGGTGTCACAAGGTGCTGTCTTGCCGATTTGGGATGGTAGCCAGAGTTTGACGGTTTCTGGTGTAGCTACTGCAGTGGCTATGCCACCAGATACTGAACTCTCGCTGACACGTAGTGCAGCGAGCGACGGCATGTATAGTTCCTGTAATTTAGTCCAGGTGTCGATCCTGCGTTGCAGAGTGTTATTCCGCTGAAGCATCTTCCCTTCTTGATTGTCTGTTGCGTGAACTCTGAGGCCGGCTCTGTCAGCTTTCATTCGCCGTCTAGAAAAAAGTAAGACCAAGATCTCATATGCAGCACTCAGGGGACTTACTGTTGTTCCTCGAGTTCTAAGCTGGTACTGATCAATACACTAGGAGTACAGTCCTCGTGTAGCACAAGGCAAGTCCCTGTTTGAATATCATTCTGGTCATCCCTAGCCAGTTCCAGTCGCACAGAAGCCATAGTGACAGCTATGATGCACGGAAAGATCAGCACACAGTGACTGATGATGATCCATACATACTTTCCGCCCTTCGTTCGAAAGGATTTGGCTTTGCAGGGTCACGCTCCCAAGCCTCCACCTGTTCTCTCCACTGGGCGAGAGCGGCACTATATTCACCTCTCAAACCTTCTTCAAGGTCATCAAGGGCTTCGTGATGATCCTGCCGCTCCGGTAATGCATCCTTCATCTTGTGAAGCATAGTATGACCTGATAATAAAGGAGGTCAGCCCAAATACGCTCTTCAAGACCGAAACTGCCTCGGCATAGTAAGGGGTTGATGTATTATCGAGGCGACTGGTGGATGGAGAGAAGGTGCATGGTGCGTCTGCACAATTGAGTGTCGGAGTAGTCGAGGTTAAGGTATCCAGTTGCAATAAAGGATGATTTCAATGAAAATGTACGAACCAAGTTTAACTACCTTTTTCCAATTTGAGTCTCCAAAGTAGTCGTCAAGGGTGTCTCGCCGTGCACCAGGACCCATCTCTTTAGTACTTGAAGCGACGGGGTTGATATTGGCCCAGCCACGCTCGGGTGCTTCTCCATCAGTCCGACCGACCCCACTCTTAAAATTGAACGAGAATGAGGTTTGACACTCCTCGATGTGAGCAGGAAGGTGGAACTTTGGGATGAAAAAAGAGATAGTTTTGAAAGTGGGCAGGAGGTGCATTGAGACTGGAAATGTGCTCATACGGTGCCATAATTTTTTGTGCCACTGGCACGCGATATCGTAAGATACATTCAGAGTGTCGATTACAGTGTGGCGCAGCGTTGAGAAGAATAAATAATCCATGTTGACATATCTACAGACCGTTAGATCACCAATGTCTGAATGCAAAACACGATTTACCTTTCACCCTTTTGGAGATCTCCAACAGCGTTGGGCCGTTTCATGTTGTGGCGGGCACAGTCAACAGTACCTAAACCTGTGGCAGCAAGTCCACAATTAGATTTTGTGTCCGCCATGTTCACAGCGTTGTGACTTGAGCATGTTGATTTCTGTAGAACACCATTAATACACGAAAAGAAGATTTAAATAAAACAACCTCTTGGGTATTGTCCGAATTGCTGTCCAAGAAGCCCTTATAAGCTTCATCCTCCACGAAATAGGCCCACCCAGAACTCAGGCTTGGGTCCACGCTGTCATTCGAGACAGCCTTGCGTTTCAACCGGAAGTTTGCATCGATAGCAAGGAACAATCCGTAGAGCCAACTAATAGTATCTATATCAGCGATAATACCACTCAAGCTATCTAAAACTCACCGTCGAGGTGCATCTTTCCAATTATCTGGAAGGTTCTTCCCTGGATGTGGACAAGCTGGGCACAATACAGCACATTCACCTTGAGCTGTCGCTTCTACACCCTTCGGATCGTGACCTCGCCCTGAGCGTTTGAGCATCTTCAGGTGACGCCATTCACGAATCATCCGCATAAACGACTTGTATCGATCCTGTAAAGAAGCTTTACTGACCATAAGGATACTTGAAATTTTGAACCTACCTTAATGAGAAGTAGACTGGTGTTGTCAGACATCCGGCGAAGTCCATGATAAAATTCATAGGCAGATATTTTTGACTCAAACGAGAGCAGGTGATACTGCTCCAGAACGCGGAATGTTGCAGCAGTTTTTGGATCTGAGGTTGTTGAAGGAAATAATGACATTCGAAGTAGCTGTTGCATACGACTTTCGGCTATTGCACAACCGCAGAAGTCGAGTGACACTTCGTGTATACCGAAGATGTCGATAATGACAAAATCGTCATTAAAAGCACGGTGAGGATTGACACATTGCCGGCCAGTGATGTGACCAAGCTGAATGCGGAGGCCCAGGGCTTTCAGAGAAATTCGCTCGAAGTATTGACCGTTCCACTTCTGTATTTGAGATTAAGTCTATTATCACAATTAAATGCAAAGACATACCTGCAATCGGTGAAGCGGGTGGTGCGCATGGACTGACAAAATACAAGTTGAGCAATGAAGCTCTGACCCGAAGCAGTCCTGACATTTGTACTCAGGATTGGGACCATCACACTCTAAGCACAACCGCATGCTGACTCTTCCTTCAAGACGGATCATTTCTCGAAGGAATAACGCTCTGTGATTCAGCCACGTCAACAAAGGATGGTCCTGATTAAACATTGTGAGGGGGAAGTCAAATTATGTGAAACATTGTAGTGCATGTACACCTGCTGTTCGTTTTCTCCTTTGTTGGCCTAGAACATCTAATGATACTTCGAGTGGGAGATCGTCAAGTGGCTCTGGAATTGAAAAAAAAGGTGTCTGAGTTGCATAGAGTTCGTTCCGCATGAGTTTGATCAATATAATGGTCCGGGATGGTTGCTTTAGCATTCTTAGGAGGTAGAAGACGCTTCTGCGTATAACTGACAGAGCCATCATTGTTGACTTGGTATTGGGTATGCTGGCGATAATGGACTACTGGCGCTGTGCGATAGAAATTGAGCTTTGGTTTCCTCTTCCGTTTTGGCGAGTTCTTCGAGGTAGAGGACATTGCCTTGGTACATATGATAGTCTGAACTGGATATGGTGGCCCTGCCTCAGACGGACCAGGACCCATAGACATTCTTAGATGGTGTCGAGCAAACAGAAATCATATGCAGCTCTCCGAGCCTGACATGTCATGTGACTTGCCGAAGGGCGTCGATGAAGCCAAACACTCATCTCTATCTAGGGATGCTCCAGAAATTTGATTGCTCTTTTCCTCAGCCAAAGCGGAATACCTGAGATACTGGCTACATGCCATGGGCCTCACAAAAACCTTATATCTCTTCCTTACCCTGATTGTCTTCTAACTGAATGGCTGCACGCCATGAGCCTCACAAAAAACCTTATATCTCTTCCTTACTCCGATTGTCTTCTAACTGAATCTGGCTGCACGCCATGAGCCTCACAAAAAACCTTATATCTCTTCCTTACTCCGATGGTCGTCTAACTGAATCTGGTTGCACGCCATGAGCCTCACAAAAAACCTTATATCTCTTCCTTACTCTGATTGTCTTCTAACTGAATACATTCTCCCATAATCGGTCCCGACTATAGACCGAGCAATGTTAGCAAATGCTACTAACGATACAACATCAAACTTACAGTGTGTCATCTACTGGCTGCGAGCCTACGCCGGATGGCACGATGAACTTTCTGTTCCCCGAGAAAAAGCGACCGAACAGCGAAGTAGGTAGGAGCACGATGGCCTGGGGCTTGGAGTTCAGTTTTTATATCATCCCTAAGGTGGGTGTTTAAGTATAAAAATGGAAATGAGATGGAAATCTCACCAGAGATATGACGGAAAAACTCCAATGTAGCGGCCATAGGTAACGCAGTAGAAAGGTGGTTCTAGATCGCGCTTGGCAGGCATGTTGTAGAATATTCCTAGATACGAAAAAATAAAGCATTCATCCGCCATAGCATAGACGGCCTCATCAAACTCGACACTGCCCTCGTACACAGTCACAGACTCCTCTGGCTCTGCCATGTAGGGTGTTGTAGTGATGTCGACCCAAAGGGGATCACACATGGAGAGACGGACTGGCAGCGAGGAAATTTTGGGTTAGCTTGATACCTAGCGCTTCCATTGATATGGCAAATCACTCACCTTAGAACACAAGTGTTAATGTTGATGAGTCAAATTGGCAGCGGCCAACGTGAGGTTCCAGTAGAAGCGTCTTAGACCAACGAGGGCTAGCGTTTGATAGAGTTTCGGTCCAAGTAGAATGGATTAGAAGTATCTTAGACCAACGGGGGCTAGCGTTTGATAGAGTTTCGGTGCTTGCAATCACCGGTGTCAGGATTGAAGATTACATGATTGATGCATCACTAACATCGCATCATTATCATAACTGCGAGACAGTGATATCACAAGTAGTCTGGTATAATAGCTCACCACGTGTATGACCTTCCAGCGCATCGTGAGGGTCGACCATGACATGCATGAGCAAGTCCTCCAGTGCTAAGATGAGGCTAGATGCTTGATGGGATATCAAATCTACTCGCTGCAACTCCTCTCCTGTCCCCATAGCCTGCAAAACGATCCCATGAAGTAGCCGGAGACGTTGTTGAATGCCTTCCATACCACCTAGTAATACATTGATTGAATGCATGCATGTTCCCGCGTCACCTGACTGACAAAGATCATTCACCAGCCCATCTAAAAGTCTTCGCGAGGATCCACCAATAATGTCTGCAAGTGCAGCTTCGGCACTTGTGAGGTCTTCCTGCCTAATGATAGTTTAATGTAAAGTTCAAGTAGCTATCAGTAACGTGCAGCTCACCATGGGTGCCTTTGTGATGATCTCGTGCGGACGCTGTACCTGCTACGGTTTTGGGAATCAACATCATTGTTGGTCGGACAGTTGTGTTGTTTGCAAGATTTTTGCCGGTTCTTCTTGCTGATGATTGCACTATTTCTGCGTCTCCTGATACATGTCAGTAGTTAAAACAGAAAAGCAAGTGCTTACTTTGCATAGTATTTCTTGCGGTAAGAATGAGCAGCCTCAATTTTATCTTGTGATGTGTGATACAGCCGAGGTCGGCCCATGATGTAGTAGTAACCAAGTTTAGAACAAGTTGTTGAAAGTAGCCGCGTCGACTTTGGGAGATTTACTACTAATTGCTTGATATCCGATGATCACCAATCATGTCTCACTCAAAATCAATGGTATAGCAGTAGCTAATTATTCAGAGCATGTATGTCGGGGTTCTACCTCATACAACGATCAAATTATGAGCTAGACTCAAGTAAATTGCAAGTTGAGTCTTATGGCGCTGGTTCTAACGTTCAACTATTCTACACGCAAAACTCACACATACAGACGAAACACACACACTCTTGTATTGTAGAAATATTAGTACTATACAATCAAATCTAGACATGATGCGACAACTACAACGTTGCAGGTGCTAATCAAGTAGAGTACAAGGGCAAATAAGAAGACTCGGCTGGTGGATGAGTTGCGACAAAAAGGATTAAAACTTACCAGCGTTAGGAACCAATCCTCGAATCTTTTTGAGGCCCGGCTGGTGGATTGAAAGGTGCCAGCGTTAGCAACCAATCCTCGAATCTTTTTGAGGCCTGGCCGGTGGATGAGTTATGACAAAAAGGATCAAAACTTACCAGCATTAGGAACCAATCCTCGAATCTTTTGAGGCCCGGCCAGTGGATTGAAAGGTGCCAGCGTTAGCAACCAATCCTCGAATCTTTTTGAGGCCTGGCCGGTGGATGAGTTATGACAAAAAGGATCAAAACTTACCAGCATTAGGAACCAATCCTCGAATCTTTTTGAGGCCCGGCCAGTGGATTGAAAGGTGCCAGCGTTAGCAACCAATCCTCGAATCTTTTTGAGGCCTGGCCGGTGGATGAGTTATGACAAAAAGGATCAAAACTTACCAGCATTAGGAACCAATCCTCGAATCTTTTTGAGGCCCGGCCGGTGGACTGAAAGTTGCCAGCGTTAGCAACCAATCCTCGAATCTTTTTGAGGCCTGGCCAGTGGATGAGTCGCAACAAAAAGGATTGAAACGAAACTTACCAGCGTTAGTAACCAATCCTCGAATCTTTTTGAGGCCTGGCCAGTGGATGAGTCGCAACAAAAAGGATTGAAATGAAACTTACCAGTGTTAGTAACCAATCCTCGAATCTTTTGAGGCCTGGCCGGTGGATGAGAGCAAGAATAATAGACAGAAATTTGCCAGCATTGGCAGCCTTGAAACATTTTATGAGTGTAGAATAGTTGAACAGATCCAGCACAGTAGAGTCTCACCTGTGTGTACTATGTGTGAGTGAGTTTTACAAATGTAGAATAGTCAGCGCTATGATAGAGTCTGTGACACCTGCAAACTGATCACACTGCCACACGCTAACTTGACGTTCTAAAGTAGGCTACACACATAAGCACATCGAAACTCAACTACTGCTTAATGTTCATTTCTCGATGTCTAGGTGAGTCTTTGGTTGTTTGATCCCACATTGTATACTTATTACTCGATGTCTAGGTGAGTCTTTGGTTGATTGATCCCACATTGTATACTCAGGCTTATTACTGTCACGACGCTCTGTCCGAACACTTATTGTTGGTTCAAGTCACATCCCATCATCGTCATAGGTTAGTCTACATGATTGCATGGACAATAACAATGGGCTAACGGTGCACTCAGCAACGATGGCCAGTCTACCAACTTCATCTCAAGATCCACTGGAGGCAATATGAAGCCGATATCAATCTTAGTGCAGGCACAGCTAACACCTCCCGGTATGTAGTACGCAACACTCAGATTGTGTCGTCATCCCTCATTACCTGATCACTAGTCATTCTAAAACACAAATCGGTGCCGATACCATTGTTTCCGTCGTTTCCATCCATACCACCCTCTCCTAATTTGACAATGTGGTAAGTCGATACCAAAATAGCTCTATTTTTTTTTATTCGCTCGGTATTGACTCGCGAATAATATAAGGATGGACGTCTACTTCATACGGGAATTATTTCCCCATCATCCTTCATATTCACGCACAACAATGCCAGCAGCTTCGTGGACTACCAAAGCGCAGTATACATGGCTCCAAGAACAAATGCCAGAGTACATGCAGCAAAGCACCGGGGACAAGGACTACTCCTGCTTCTGGCCCGGCATACACAAATATTGGTTCAAAACATGGCCAGAGCGCAATATTCTGTTCCCCGACATCCCTGGTGACGTGTCGCTCACTGTTGAGCAGACGAAACAAGAAGTTAAAGCTGAAGAGCAACGTAAAGTTGTAAGTCGTCGACTACGTGTTTTTTTTGTATCGTAAACTAAAGTAAAATACTTGTAGCAACTGGCAACCTGGTTCCGTTGGCGGGCGGGTTCATCCAAAAAGAATCGCGGCTTGAAGAAGGAACAGACTGTCTTTGATGCCGCCCTGCGACTGAAGACGCGTGCAAAGTCTGTCGAAGAGATCTATATGGGCATGGTCTACGACGAGCAGATCAAACCCCTGGTCAAGGCCGAACAAGAAGCGGGCAATGTGACTACTTCTGGTCACCGCATGGCATTGGGTCGAAGGTTCTCCAAGGAGCTCTTAG